CTTCATTCTACCTGATCTTTCTTCAGCAGATGATAGAACTGACCAAACTTTTGTTCTGTAAAACTTTCTTCTCTCCTTACTTCCATGTGATTATTCTCTAAAGCATTTTCTCCTTCTTGTCCTATTATTCCTCTGTAGTTTTCTTAACAGAATTTCCCACTCTCATTGTAAGCAAACAAAATCCCCAAATGTTAGTGTCCTTCTGGGTTGTGTTGTTTGGGGCCCTTTTCTCTTCTCCCTGAACTACCATATTCACAAGCCTTCTACCATACCCAAGCCCTAATAACTCACATGTCTATATCTTTGGACCCATATTTCTAACTGACTACTAGATATCTTGCCTGGATGCCCTGCAGGCATCTCAAACTTAAAATGCCCAAACCTTATCTTCCCCTCAAACTCCTACAAAACCCACTCCTCCTCCTTTATTCCCTATCTCAGGGAGTGGTACCACTATGCACCCAGGAACCGAAGCCAGAAACCTGGGTGTCATCCTCAACTCCTACCTCTCCACATTTAATAGACCATTAAGTTCTCTTACTATGTTAAAAATGTTTCTGCACTCCAACCTCTCCTCTCTAGCCCCCCAACAGCCTTCATATAAGTTCTGATCATTACTGTTATGAACAATAACATCTTAGCAAGTCTCCCCTACTATGAGGCTCTGTCATTTCCAATTCTTTCTTTAGAATAGAGGCCATCAGACAGGGATTTCACTGTTCAGAAAAGTTTATAAAATGGTTTTGATAATTGACATAGTATGACTTTTTAAAAAAATTTTTGTCAGGCCCCATAACCCAACATCATCTACTTTCACTATCATTTCATAATAATTTTAAAAGAATTTTCGACTTCAAAAAATAGAAAGTACCATACTCTCATAGAAAACAGTTCTTTGGGCGCCTGGGTGGCTCAGTCGGTTAAGCGTCTGCCTTCGGCTCAGGTCATGATCCCAGGTCCTGGGATCGAGACCCACATCGGGCTCCCTGCTCTGCATGGAGCCTGCTTCTCCCTCTCCCACTCCCCCTGCTTGTGTTCCCTCTCTCGCTGTGTCTCTCTCTGTCAAATAAATAAATAAAATCTTTAAAAAAAGAAAAAAAGAAAACAGTTCTTTAAATATATTTGACGTTTTAAATGAAACAGTGTACTGGGGTGGGGGGATGGGTTAGCCTGGTGATGGGTATTAAAGAGGGCACGTTCTGCACGGAGCACTGGGTGTTATACGCAAACAATGAATCATGGAACGCTACATCAAAAACTAATGATGTAATGTATGGTGATTAACATAATATAATAAAAAAAATTTTTACTTAAAAAAAAAAGAGAAACAGTGTACTGGATGGGAACCACTGCTCTAGAATTTAGACTGCCATCACAGTAATCTTTAGCTAGCTTGAAAATCTCTGTATTATATAAACATTTAAATTTATCCATATAATCTACATGCATATCCTTTTACTGGCTTTTAATGGCTACATAGTATTCATTGTGTTGACATGTTATTGGCATGTCTATTATAGTCTTCTATTTTAGGCATTTTTAAAAATAATAACCTTTAAACATTCCTGTCACATATCACCTCCAGGCCTTATAATAAAAACCATCCTCTTTAAGGTAACATAAAAAGCCCTTTATAATCTGGTCTCAATTTGCTCCTCAGAAAGTACTTACTCTAAACACGTCATATCTTTTCTCGCCTTTATGCCAGTTGTTCTCAACTGGGACTAATTCTCTGCCCCCTTCTACAGGGGACATTTGGCAATGTCTGTATTACTATCTGAATTTTGTTACTCCCAAAATTCACACGTTGAAGCCCTAACCCCTATGTGACTGTGTATGGAGATTTTATACATACACACACACACATAATATGGCATATACATGTATATGCCATACCATCTATACATTTTAAAGAGTTATACAGCATTTTAAAAAAAGATTTTATTTATTTATTTGAGAGACAGAGAGCACACAGTGGGGAGAAGCAGACGGAAAGGGACAAAAAGACTCCCTACTGAGCAGGGAGCCAACCCGGTGCTAAATCCCAGGACCCCAGCATCACTTAACTGATTGGGCCACTCCGGCCCCTTATAGCATTTTTTAAACCATAATGATATGAAAAAAATATCCTTATCCTTAACATTAAGCAATCAAGCTTTCCCAATTTTTTTTTTTAATACATTTCTTGCTAACTCATTGCCAAAGGTCAGTAATACATAAGTGTGCCTTAGGATATCTAGGCCATCAAATGATCCACACGAATGTAAAATTTTCAAGAGTATGACTTACTAACAGTAATGTTAGCTAAAACTTATCACTATTTTGTAAGATACTGTGCTATCATAAGTGCTTTCTCTCCATACTGAAATTTAATTTCCATATCCTATGTGGTATTATTATTATACTCATTTTAGAAATAAGGAAACTTACTAACAGTAATGTTAGTTAACACATATAAAGAAACAGAAATTGGGAGAAATTACTTGACTTGTCCAAAGTCATACCACTAGCAAGTACTTCAAAACAAAAAATAAGGCTGGGACTAAAAATGTTGAGAATCAAGATTTTCTCAGCAAAAAATAAAATTTCTGGACATTATAATAAATGTCTTATTATATCAGGGCACCTGATGGCTTAGTCAGTAGAGCACGTGACTCTTGATCTTGGGGTTGTGAGTTCAAGCCCCACATTGGGTATAGAGATTACTTAAAAATAAAATCTTAAAAAATGTTTTATTATAATTCTTTGACTTTATAATTGGAAAAGTACTTCCCTAAGGAAAACAATGTCTTTGTCTGCTTCTCTAGTTAACCATCTGAGACAAAATTACTTCATGTAGTTTGCTAGAAAAAATATTCTGGCCTATCCTTGTATTTATATATTTTACTTAGATTCTTAGTTCTTTTAGATTCTTAGGTTTTCAACATTTTTCATTCCTTTGTCCTATTCAATTTCCTCTTGTAGAGAAAACCAAATGAAGAAAAATGATGAAAATAAGGAGTGTCATGGGCTATTATTTTAAGTACTTACTTAGTTACCTCAAACTCTGGAGTGTCCTGGAAAATAATCATCCAGTAAATATCCATTACCATAGTTAAGATATGTATTGTTTTTATACTACCTTAAAGTTTTTTTTTAAAGATTTTATTTATTTAGTTGACAGAGAGAGACAGTGAGAGAGGGAACACAAGCAGGGGGAGTGGGAGGAGAAGCAGGCTTCCTGCAGAGCAGGGAGCCAGATGCGGGGGGACCCAGCAGCCGCTTAATGACTGAGCCACCCAGGCGCCCCTAAAGTTTTATTTTTTTGCCTCTTTTCAAGAAAGAAAGGGGAAGTAGAGTACAATCTCTTTGCAACAAAGAAACTGTTTTATCATTGCATTTTAGTATTTTTTTTACTGAACAAATTTTATTTTGACATTGATAATTCTGTAGATCAACCTATATCTCCAGCACCCCTTTGTGAAAACTCATTTATCAACCCTACCGTTCTGTTTCCGTCCTCCAGGACCCTGTGTCTCCTGGAAAGGGTCTGAGATAGCAGCCATAGTCCAAGTGTTCCCAGAATTTAGAGAGGAACTGGGAAGATTTACAACAAACTTTGAAGGCATTTTTGATGTGGCAGATCTTAACTTTTAAAGATGTTCAAAAACTTCTGGCAGCAACTTCGCAACTCGAAAGGTTGAGAGCTTTGATTTTTCCTGAGTTTGACAAGCCACATTTTTGCCCCTAGTCTGAAAATCTTTTAGACTATTAAAATTTCTCAGCTTTGCGATAGACTAGCTTGGAATAGAAAATAATAATGACTTATTAGCACCTTTTTTTATTCATATTTATTTGCATGTCTATTTCATTAAACGCTAAAGTTTCTTGAGGGTACAGATTTGTGCTATTCATTCTTTTTTATCTTCCATCAAGAAAAATTACTTCGAGTCTACAATCAATAAATATTTACTGATTTGAAATTTCAATTGGGAAGGCAGAATACAGAACTATTAAACTTTTGGTGCCTGATGACCTGGGTTTAGATTCTGCTATTCACTTGCTGTATGACCTGATGCAAGTTCACAAAACTCTCTAATTTCCTCAGCTCAAAAGTGGGTAAAATGAGATAATAAAGGACTTGGAGCTTTTGAAGTGCTATATATATAATGAGTATTTCCTGAGCTCAGACTATGCTCTACGGTGCTGGTAACAGAGCACAAAATACGCAGGGTTCCTGTCCTTACGGAGCTCAAGGTAGTTGGGGAGATAGACATAAAATAATTTTTCTAACAAATAGATTAGATTATTATAAATTGCTATGAAAAAAGGTTAAGAATTCAACAAGAAGTTGTAAAAGCAGAGACTGATTTAGATTGCTGAGTAAGGAGTCTCGGCGGGAGTGGCACTTAATAGAAAATTTGAAGGATGAGGAGATTCTCTATTTCCTCACCTCCTCATTCCTCAACTTCCTTGAGTCCGGCTTCCATCTCTCTACCTAAGTGGCTCTTGATAAAGTCACCAATTGCTTCCATGTTACTATATACAACTGACATTTTTCAGTCCTCTTACTTGACCTAGCAGTTCTCTGCAGTTAATCACTCCCTCGGTCTTGAGACGCGGTCTTCCCTTGCCTTCTCTACCAAGAAGCTCGTGCTGACTGCCTCTTAAGTCTCTTTTGCAGGTTCATCTCCTTAAGTGCCTGGACAGCCTCGCCGTGAACTGTAATTGTGAAAAACAACGCAGTCCTTTCGAGTCATAAAAAAGGAGTGGGTACAAGCGAACACATTTTGGGGGCCCTCTCCTCGCTTCCGGTACGCTTCATATTATCGCGAATATAAAACTTTGCGGCTCCACCAGAGACGCCCCTCTCTCTTGCGGGCTGGGCCTGGCCACAGGGCAATAACTGGCATTCAACTTGACCCAACGCCAGCATATCTGCCCAGGAAACGCCCAAGGCGCGGGACAAAAAACGAGTCACTCATGGCCCCGGCCGCGCTTCAGACTCTACAGCCTTGCGCGCATGCCGACCGCAGCCCCGCTCCCTTTCGCGCGCGACCCGCGCAGACGAGTCCTCCGACATCCCAGCATTCCCTGCGCCCGTACCATCGAGAGCAGCTTCCGGCGTCGCTGGTGTAGGTGGGTGAAGAAGGAGCGGGCCCTCGCCGCTCTGTCTCACTCTCTCGCGCGCTCTCTCGGGCAACATGGCGGGCGTGGAGGAGGCAGCGTCCTCCGGGAGCCACCTGAATGGCGACCTGGATCCAGACGACAGAGAAGAGGGAGCTGCCTCTACAGCTGAGGAAGCAGCCAAGAAAAAAAGACGGAAGAAGAAGAAGAGTAAAGGGGCTGCCACAGGTAAAGGAGTTTTATGTGTTCCCAGCCCCCGCCGGGGAGGGTCGAACGGCTGGGCCCAGGCCGGGCGGGGGTGACAGAAACTGGGGACTCGAACACTGCACTGGACTGATTCCCAGGACGGTGTGTGTCAAAACCAGGCTACAGATTTCCAGTCTCGGGAAGAGGCGGCTTTTCTTTCTGTGGCACTAGGGAGGTGTTGGGGGTGGGGTGGGGTGAAAAGGGTGCCTCAGCTTGTGAGGTAGTTCTGGGGTTGCTGGGCCTGAGCCCTTAGACGTGCTGGAACTGAGCTCCCACACAGATCGTGCAACGGACTCGAAGCTGTGCACAGGGCTCAACCCTGCCACCCTCCTCGCGGTTTGCCCTCCTCAAAAATCTGGTTCTGACCCACACTGTCACCGCTTTGCTGGAGGTACCTGGAACATATTTTCAAGGATGGGAGTGGAGTGGGCAAGTCTCAGTGCCTTGACCGCACCTCCCTCCACCTTCCCGGTTTACAGAGGGATTTTTGTTGCCGGCTGCACTTTCGAGGTGTGTGTATATGTGTGTATGCCCACGCGGTCGTGTCACTGAGTAGTAATTGCAGAATACGTGGTAGTGCTGCGAATTTTCACCTGCCTAAAGCCATAGCATCGTCAAGCTTCAGGGCTTTTTACGCCTGAATTACGCTTTTTGCAGGCAGTTCGGATAGAATATTTTATGGGTTGGAACGGAACTTCTCTAAATCCACTGGTAAGGCTGCAAGTTTACACTTGGATTACATTATGAGTTAGGAACTTAAATTTTTGAGAAGTCAGTGTTTTTTGTTGTACGTGGTCCTTCCTTTTAGGAAAACAATGTTTGTACCTGTTTTTAGAATCAGCCGCACAAAGATTGAGAGACAAATGGAGAGGCTGTAAGTGATGAAGGTGAAGTTGAGAGAGGTTGGAAAGGGTTAATATCTTTCTGAAATATTGATTAAATGGGAGTTGAAAAGGGAAAGTTGTGGGTGCTGGGACACTTTCAGAGAAAATTTAATCCCAGGACATAGGCTGGTGGCTGTTCCTGGCTTTCAGACTCTTCAGTTTGTCCTTTCAGATGCCCCTAATACATTTTTAACGGTTGTATCTCTCAATATGAATCCTCTACAGTAGCCAGAATATCACTTCAATATGTGCTCACTGGTAATACTATTTCTTTCTACACACACCTATTGCTTCTACAGTTAGATTGCATTCACTTGGGTGGAGGGGGAAGCTGGTATTGTGCTTAGCTGCTCAAGAATTTTGTTTTTTAGTAATGGAATTATCTTTTCCTATTTATTTTGATTTTACCCAGCCTAGCTTGATGACTTATTTCTCATGAAGACTTGAAGTTCCCAATGTCCCATTGAAATCCTCCTCTTACTAAGACCTTCAGCATTTATTATCTATCTTAAGTACCTGTTTGTTTAATAAAGTGTTTGTTGTAGTAGTCTAATTGTTAAATACTTTAAAAGTGAGACAACTTACGGATACGGACCAACTCACATTTTTGTTTATCCTTTAGTTGCTAGCACAGAGAAGGTGTAATGGATATTTTGTTGAATGAACAGTGCTACTTAGATGTGGGGGATTTTTGTCATTAAATAAATTCTGTTATGTTCATAATAATGTTTCTGTTTTTGTTTCACAAATAGTTATCAGGCAGGAAAGGACTTGTGTGTTCTCCAGGATCCTTAGAACATATTCTAGTTGGAAAGTATCTTTATTAGATTTGATTTATGTTATATTTGATCAGCAGGGCAACAGGAACCTGATAAAGAAACAGGAGCCTCAGTTGATGAGGTAGCAAGACAATTGGAAAGGCAAGCATTGGAAGAGAAAGAAAGAGATGATGACGATGAAGGTAAATGGTAAATTTGATTTTTGTGGTTGGAAAAGGAAGAAGATATGACATTCTTTAAACAAAATCTACTTCTTTGTCCATATAGTTTATGGTTCTCTGGTGTTTTAATTAACATTAAAGCCTCAATGTCACAGATAAAAACGAAAAGGTATTTATTAGCAATTCTTAAAAAGTTGGTTAGGTTGAATGACCGCTCAAATTACACAGATCTCAACTTTTTAAAAATGTACTTGGTAAAATGCCAAGAGGGGTATTAAGATGAAATTGAAGGACTGCTGGGGCACCTGGGTGGCTCAGTTGGTTAAGCATCTGCCTTTGGCTAGGGTCATGATCCCAGAGTCCTGTGATCTAGCCCCACATTGCACCTGCGTCCTGCTCAGTGGAGAACCTGCTTCTCCTGCTCCCTCTGCTGCTCCCCCTGCTTGTGCTCTCTCTCTCTCACTCTCTCTCAAATAAATAAAATCTTAAAAAAAAAAACAAAAAGAAATTGAAGGACTGTTTATTTAACATTTATTGAACAACTAATATATACAAGGCACTGTCCTAGGATACTTTCACATGCATTCTCATTTTACCGTCACAAAACCTAGCAAAGTAGGTGCTCTTCTCAGGAAATGATAGTTATTATGTCATTTGCCCAATGTGACACAACTAGTATGTGTAGAGTGGAGCCAAAGTTTCAAACCGAGAACCTGATTTGAAGTCTGTTCCTTTTACTCTGTACAAAAGCTCCTTCTATTCTCAAGGAGTATATTGGAGTCCTTCTATATAACAGAGTCTTACTCTATTCCCTGACCCTAGCTGCTTGTAGTATGTTGGTCCTATAAGATTTCTTAAAGATAGTAAATCTTGAAATTCTGGAAATTGATGCTGTCAGTAAGACAGTGGAGGGAATATTTGCTATTCTATAGTCCCTTTTGGTAGAAGGGGTGATGGGCTTTCCCATTCTCAATTGTCTACTATTGCAGCCTACTGCTCTTCCTTAACCACTGCCAACTTGGGCTTGTGTCTTCTAGTCCTTAGCAAAAAATACCTGCTGTACTTTGTCATGTTAGGATAATGCAGAGTAGTTGTTTCTCCTTTAGAAACATAAGCGCTCTGCCCTCAAGGAGCTTAGAGTCAAAATTTGGTGGAAAAAGTGCCAGGGTTCAAGAGAATAGTTAGCTTTTCCTTAAGCAAACATTTTGTCCATTTTACCTTGGTTTGTGCTTCAAATTATGAACATATTTTGAGCTCTTAGCAAGAAAGGGGCTTGTAAACTCAAGCTTATATAATAGATTGCTGTGGACCTACTGTGTAGAGTATAACAGTTTTAATCTTGAAGAGTGTTCTTTGTTCCATTGCTCTTCTATGAAGTTGTATGAATCTCTTGACATTGAAGGAGAAAATTTGTCAGATTGGAAATCATCAATGTTTTAAAGATGATTGTAGGACTGTTGGTTTTCTCCAATTGAGTTATTTTCCTAATTTCCATCAAAAATCAGTATCAATCAGTACATACTAATCTGTTATGAGAGTTCTTTGAGAAGATGGAAGGTTAGTATTTCAGAATCTTTGTTCTAAAGGAAAACTGGTGGTGGGGTAGAGGGACAAAACAAAGGGAGGAAAAGATACACCAGTACCGGGACACCTGGGTGGCGCAGTCGTTAAGCGTCTGCCTTCGATCAGGTCATGATCCCAGGGTTCTGGGATCAAGTCCCACATCAGGCTCCTTGCTCAGTGAGGAGCCTGCTTCTACCTCTCCTGCTGCTCCCCCTGCTTGTGCTCTCTCTCTCTCTGACAAATAAAAATCTTAAAAAAAAAAAGATATACCAGTACCTGCAATAAAGTTTATTGAAATTTGGAGGTGGAATTGCGGGCTGAGTGCTGAAGGAAGGCTCTTTGGAAGGAATGGGACTGGAATAAAACCAAACAGAAGAGACCACTTTGGGGTAGGACAATGCCGAGAATGTATTCCAAGTGTAGTGAATAGTGCATACTGGCCATATGATATGATTTGTTGAAGGAACCTTGGAGCATTTTTAAAAGAAAGTTGTAGGGGTGCCTGGCTAGCTCAGTTGGTAGAGCGTATGACTCTTGATCTCGGGGTCAGGAATTCAAACCTCACATTAGGCATAGAGTTTACTTAAAAAAGAAAATGTTAAAAAGAGAGAAGACTGTTATAAAATATAATTTAGTCCTCATATATATGCAGGGTTGTTAGAAAAGAGGAAACATTCAGGAAAAGCTTGGAGATCATTTTGGAGGGCACTTAACAGCCCAAGTATGTGGTAATGATTATTTAAATTGGTGGGGGGCACCTGGGTGGCTTGGTTGAGCTTCCAACTCTTGATTTCAGCTCAGGTAATGATCTTAGAGTCCTGAGATTGAGCCCCATGTCAGGCTTTGCTTCCCCTATCCCCCTCCACCCCCGTGCATGCCTGCAAGCTCTCTCTCTCTCTCTCAAATAAATATCTTTAAATAGGTGGGCTTAAATGAGGATGGAAGGGAAGGATCTAATGGAATAGTGGTTGTGGAAGCAGAATTCAAAGGACTTAAAAGACTTTAAATCAGGGGAGAAGGAAGGAGAGGCATAGGTAGACCCTAGTGATTTGAATTTTGTGACAGAATATTGGTGCTGTTCACTGAAATTGTGAAGTAGAGAGGGAGAGTGGGTTAAGAGATTGGGGGAGGGAGTGTAGCAAAGAAGAAGGTATTGAGTTAATTTTAGATGTGTTTAATTTGAAACTGGAGTATGAAAAGTTAATCCTGTGGGCATTTAGCATTGTGCTAGAAGTAATTTGATAAAGTTTTAAGTCAAATTTATTAATGTATAGATTGCCCAGGACTATATTCACTATTTTCAAAAACAGACTTTATGTCTTAGAACAGTTTTACTTAGGTTCACAGCAAAATTAAGCAGAAGGTATAGAGATTTCCCATATAGTCCCTACCACCACACATGCATAGCCTCTCCCATAATCAACATCCCCCACTGGAGTGGTGCATTTGTGACAATGGATGAACCTACATTGACACATCATTATTATGCCAAGTCCATCGTTTATATTAGGTTTACTCATGATATTGTACATTCTATATATTCACCCTTTATAAGTATATAGTTTGGTGAGTTGATGAACATGTGCATTTGTGTAACCACAACCAGGATAAAAACCATTTTCATTTAACATTTCCATCTCCACAAAAAAGTTCCCTTTTACCCTTTTGTAGTCCATTCTCTTGCTCCACACCCTGATCCCACACAGCCATTGATATATTTTCTGTTACGTAGCTTTTTCTACAATATCATATAAATGGAATTATTATAGTGTGCAGCTTTTTTTGGCTTATTTGCCTTAGCGTGATACTTTTGAGAGTCATCCAGCTGCATATGTATCAGTAATTGATTACATTTTATTGCTGAGTAGTATTCCAAATTTGTTTACCTATTTAGTAGTTGATGGATATTCAGGTTGTTTCTAGTTTTTGTGTTATGAATAAAAACAACATTTGCATACAAGTCTTTGTGTGGGCATAAGTTTTCATTTCTCCTGGGTGAGTACCTAGGAGTAGTGTTGCTGGTCATATGGGAAGTGTATGTTTAATCTTACAAGAAACTATCAAACTGTTTTTCAGAGTAGCTGTATCATTTTGCTTTCCCGTCAGCACTGGTTGAGAGTTCCAGGTCCTTTGTATCTCTTAAGCACTTGGTATTGTTAATTTTTAAATTAGCTTTTCTAACAGGTGTGCAGTGGGATGTCATTGTGGTTTTAATTTGCATTTCCCTAATGACTGATGATGTTGAACATCTTTTCATGTTTTTGCCTTTTATATTTCTTTGGTGAAATGTTTGTTCATATCTTTTGTCCATTTTTCAGTTGGGCTATTTGTGGTCATACTGAGTTGTAGTGGTTCTTTATTCTTGATATAAGTTCTTTATCTGATATATGTTTTACCAATATTTTCTTTCATGCTGGTATTGTTTGCAGCAGAAAAGATTTTAATTTTGATGAAGTTCCATTTATTTTATTTCTTCATGGGTCATGTTTTTTGCGTGTTATCCAAAAAGTTAAATAATTGCTGTCTGACAGCAAAGGAGATTTCTTTGCTGTCTGTAGGGTCATGAAGATTTTTTCTTATATTCTCTTCAAGAAGTTTTATATATCCATTTAGAGTTAATTTTTGTATATAGTGCAAGGTAAGAACTGAGATTCCTTTTTTTTCTTGCATATAGATGTCCAATTTTCATTCAGCAAATATTACTTGATTTGGATATAGGGCTAATACAGAAATAGATACGAACAGCCTCTGCCTGTTAAGAATATCCTGGGATGCTGTGAAAGAAAGACTTATAAAAACATAAATTGTGGCACGGTATAATGCATGGGAGTATAAGCATATATAGTTTGTATTTGGATCCAGGCTTTACTACTAACTTGCACAAGAGTTCAATAAACAGCAGCTATTATCCTATACTGAATACAGACCTTGAACACTGGATAAAGTAACTAGCCTCAGAAGGATGATTGAGTATCAAAGGAAGAGCTTCATTTTCTCTCATTTAAAAGATGAAGAGACCGTGGGAGAGAGAGGCTAAATAATTTGCCCAAGGTCACACAGCTGGCAGGATTTTTAGTATGTATTTGAAACTGGTTAGGGGCGCCTGGGTGGCTCAGTTGGTTAAGCAACTGCCTTTGGCTCAGGTCATGACTAGGGTCCTGGAGTGGAGTCCGCATCGGGCTCCCTGCTCAATGGGGAGTCTGCTTCTGCCTCTGCCTGCTGCTCTCCCTGCTTGTGTTCTCTCTCTCTCTGACAAATAAAATCTTAAGAAAATAAGTAAATAAAACTTGTTATAAATTTCTTTCAAGATTTTATTTACTTATTTTAGAGAGAGCGCTTGTGCTCCTGTGCACAAGGGCAGGGCAGGGGCGCAGAGGGAGAGGGAGAAGCAGACTGCCTGCCGAGCAGGGAGCCCTATGTGGGGCTCAGTCCCAGGACCCTGGGATCATGACCTGAGCCGAAGGCAGACGCTTAACCGACTGAGCCACCCAGGTGCCCCTAAAACTGGTTATACATCCTGAAGCATTTGTTTTAGGTTGGATCTAGTGTATGTAGCAGTATGCTAGGCATTGAATGTTCTTCCAGAGTAAAGACTGTTTGCTATTCTGCCCCTATTACCTGTCACTTAAGAACTCAGCAACATTGATTGAATGAATGAAGGTTACTATTAAAATTGTAGTGCAGAATATGTGAATTAGATTATATGACACATGAGGAAATTGAAAGTTGTGTTTTGGGCTTTTGAATCTAGAAACCAATAATGAGTAAGTCAGTCATATTTGTGTGTTTCCACTGTGTTCCTGTGTTTCCTGTACCCAATTCATAAGACTGAACATAAATTGCAATTTTGTGGGCATCTGGCTGGCTCAATTGATAGAGCATGCAACTCTTGATATCAGGGTTGTGAGTTCAAGCCCCACATTGGGTGCAGAGGTTACTTAAAAATAAAAATGAAAATCTTAAAAAAAAAAAATGAGGGGTGCCTGGGTAGCACAGTGGGTTGAGTGTCTGACTCTTGATTTTTGGCTCAGGAAATGATCTCAGGGTTGTGAGATCAAGCCCCGTGTTGGGCTCTGTGCTGAATGTGGAGCTTGTTTGGGATTCTCTCTCTCCCTCTCTCTTTCTCCCTCCCTCCCTCCCTTTCTTCCTTCCTCTTGCTCTCAAAAAAATAATAATAAAAAAAATTGCAATTTCGTAAGTAAAAAATTATCAAATATTGGCAGTTTCCTATCATTCAGTCCATTAAAGCCCTATATCATGTTACCTCCCTCTTTTTTTTTTTTTTTTTTTTAAGATTTTATTTATTTATTTGACAGAGACACAGCGAGAGAGGGAACACAAGCAGGGGGAGTGGGAGAGGGAGAAGCAGGCTTCCCGCCGAGCAGCGAGCCTGATGCAGGGCTCAATCCCAGGACCCTGGGATCATGACCTGAGCCGAAGGCAGACGCTTAATGACTGAGCCACCCAGGCGCCCCATGTTACCTCCCTCTTTGCTCAACTACTGTTTCCTGTTTCTCATTTAGGTGAAAAAAAGTAGGATAAAATAAACTAAAAGAATATTCATTTGTTGAATAGAGTGAATATTTATCACATGCTTAGTCCTGTGTCTTAATTTAGGAAATGGTATGTAATCTTTAAGGAGCTCACAGACAAGTAGGGGTCATTGTAAGCCCCTAATCATTTTGTAAAAATTAAAAAAGGTTGTAATTTGGTGTGATAATTAGAATATAGTGGTGAGAAGATTTCTTTTATGGCTCCTGCTTATCAATCTGGGAGTAAAAAGGGAGGAGCTCTTTGATTAGAAAATGTAAGCAGTCATTTGACATTGTTTTATGGGTGTGGATTTCATGATCTAAAATTACTGATGCTAGCCATGAGTTACTGCCACTATGTGAAACATTTAAAAGACTGTATGGTGAACATACTATTAAACTGTCAACTTCTAATTGTCTGCCACAGCTTCCTATTCATCCCTATTTCATAGCAGTGTGATTTGTGGGTAGGTTGGTGTGCTTCATGATTGTTGAAATTTATTGAGCAGTGTTTTTAGAAATTCAGACCCTTCAGTCTATTTTTTATCCTTTTTTAAAAAATGTTTTAAGTCACTATTTATTTAGTCTTGGCCATAATAGCATTCTTTATCTTTTCTCCAAGTTCAAGAGTATGGTATGGACTTCATAAAAGATTGTTATAAAAACTGACAGGCAGGGGTGCCTGGGTGGCTTAGTCACCTAAGCATCTGACTTCGGCTCAGGTCATGGTCTCAGGGTCCTGGGATCGATCCCCACGTCTGGCTCCATGGGCTCAGCGGGGAGTTTGCTTGTCCTTCACCCTCTACCCCTCACCTCACTCATGCTCTCTCTGTCTCTTGCTCAAATAAATAAATAGAATCTCTTTTAAAAAAAAGTGACAGGCAGATACTGGCTATTTTGGGTACTCTTTTGTCAACTTTGGCTTGAACTTATGACCCTGAGATCAAGACCTGAGCTGAGATCAAGAGTTGGACACTTAACCGACTGAGTCACCCAGGTGCCCCTTGCAAACTATTTTTTGAAACAGTTCTTAATCCCCATTTTTGGGCATCAGGTTCTTTTGAGAATCTGAGAACTGTGAACCTAGGAAAAGCATATATGCCCTCTGATTTTTGCATATAATTTGATCCAGAAGGAGAACTCTTCTTCTCTAATAATAACTATGCAGGAAAAGATATTTTAAAATATGACACCCCAAATACTCCTCCCTGATTAGTAATCAGGCAACATATTCTTGGTCTGGTTCTGCCATTTACTAGTTGGGATTTTCTTGGGCATGTCCCTTAAACATTCCTTGTTTTACCTCATAAAATTGCTTTGAGGATCACATGAGATCATGAAATGCAAGTGTTGAACCACAAAGCATACGTAAGCAAACTAGTATTATTTTAGGTAAAGTCACACAGTCATTATTATTGGTATTAAACTAACACTAGTTCTTTTTCCTAGCTTCTGAAAAAGTGGTAACACATTTTTTATTCTTAAGAATATCTTATTCAACAATTCTTTTATTAGAGTAAGTCAAAGTAAAGTTTCCTTAGTGCTTTTGTTTACACAAGTCAAATTCTGATACATTAGCAATATTCAGAATTCTTTTCTAAGAATATTGGGTCAGTTTTATTATATCCTATTTAAGATGCTTTGTGTGTGTGTGTGTGTGTACTTGTCTGCTTGTGCTTGCTTTGTTCCTCTGCTTATGAGGTTTAAATAAATATGTACTTGAAATGCCCTTTTCCTAGATGGAGATGGGGATGGAGATGGAGCAACTGGAAAGAAGAAGAAAAAGAAGAAGAAGAAGAGAGGACGTTAGTGTCTTAAGTTGATCTTACTTGACAAAAAGTGTTTATTAACCAGCAGGTTTGAAGAGTATGTTTGAAGTTGCGTGAGATAAATTTAGGCTTACTAGAGGTGGAATTTAGTGAAACCTACAACTGTTTTTTCATTTAACAATCTGTTGGTATTTTCTTTACTTATTATTGAGCTAAGGGATGTTAATAATAAGTTGGTTGCATTTTACTGCAATTTAGGAATGAATTTGTAATTTAAAACTTGAATAATACAAGTAACAGTTCTGTCAGGGATGAGTAAAGTGGTACCACTGTGCGTAACAGGATAAACATAGTTTGCAGTTCACCTGCCAGCTTTGAAATTACGAGATTCTTGATAAATATTTAATGAGGAGTACCCTTATTTAAAATCTGTGCATATGGTTAAATTTTATTAATAACATTGTACTATTTCATATTTACTTAAAATATGATCCTGCTTTTGTTTTGTTTCTATAAATGGCAAACCAAACCTCTTCAGCGACCTGAAATTCTATTAGGGAGACCAGGGGGAGATTGTATAGTATTGGGGAATAAAGGTTGGGTTGAGAATCAGAGCAAGTTCCAATCTTGGATGCCCTTTGGGCTGTAGGGACCACCGAGTATCTGGTTATACCTTCCTTTAAATCTTTCAGGCTAAAATTTTATGAATCGGAATAGTGGAGGCTTGGTTCATTTTTATCTCTATGTTAAGAGAAATATTCTTAAATATTTTTTAAGAAAGCTTTTGGCTCTACCAGCAATTTTCCTGATGTGTCTCCAGATGAGGATGGGATAGCCTTTTTTTTCTATTCAGGCATCTATTTTTAGATCCTTCTAGTCATAGGATGTCAGTTCTGTCCCTAGCATAGTCTGTATTTAATGAGCACAGGTTACCTGTGTTCTAGGAATCTTCCAGGGATTGTGATGTCATATTCCTTCCATTCAAAAATTGTTAGAAATGTCCTCGAGACATGGTGTTACCCGAGAATGGCTTGAGAGAGAACTATTTCTCCCAATACTCTTAAATTACTCCCTAATGAAGGTAGATAAGCAGGGAGGAATGTTAAGGGACTATTTTGTATTTGTCCTTGGTAAAATTCTTCCACTGACAGATGTTTTAGTGTGATGCCATCATCTTTTATTGTGCTTCCTCTGAGGATGTTGTTGAACTTACTGTTCATTATATTTCTTTATGAGTACTCTCAAGAGACAGTCTTTTGTCTGGTCTTGGTATCAAGAATAATTGTGCTTTTCCTGAGTACTTTATATGCTTATCTCATAAACGTGACCAATGCAAATAATCTAGCCTTTTTTTTTTTTTTTTATATTGGCTACTAGAGGGCTTAGAGCCCAAACTGGTTTTGTATTGGCAGTATTTCAGGTTCTATTTTATGTTCTTTCCATGTTTTGATTTTTGTTCTCTAATTTACTGTCTCTTATTTGTGTATTTTAGATACCCTTGTAGACTGTCGTAAATCACTTCTGGAATAAGCCAAATAATGTAATTATGGACCGTTCACTGCCCTCATTTTCCTCATCTATAAAGTGAGAGAATTATAAGTGATAGTTAATGGTAACTGCCGTACAGATTGTTATAATTATGCATAGTTTTAGATAATAACTTGGACATAGTACATTATAATTTTCAAAGGTTATCCAAGATTTCATCTGGTTCTTCATTTTGTAGATGAGGAAACTGAGGTTTGGCACATCTAGCCATTTGTCCAAGTCACAGTTAATAAGTGATTAAGGCTAGACTTCAGCTCTCATATTTTAATTACAAAATTTTTCTCTAATCTTTTGAGTCTTTTATTTTGTCTTAATAATTTATGGACAATATAAAAGGCATCTTTATCAGAATTGTAGATGAGATAAAGCTGAGGGTGACACGATAATACTTCGGTTGATAAAACTCAAGATTTCAAAAGATCAGGAAAACTGAGAAATAGGCTAGTATTAACAAGCTGAAATTTAGTAGACATATATGTTAATACAGGGTGATAGGATCTAAGGATTTTAAATGCTAGTATAATGTAAGTCAAAAAGCAGGGAGTTGTAACTATTTAATAGCTTAGGATTTTTAGAATCAGTAGTATAGTCTTAAACTAATTATACCTTATTTGGACTATTATTACAAGTCAATTCTAATACCACCTTAAAAGGAACACTGACAAATTCAAGGTTGGCAAATAAGGGTGAAAGTGTTAAGAACCATATCCTTTAAAGTGGTTTCTCATCATAGGAAGGAATCAGTAGAAATGAAAAGTAAAATTTGTGTAAAGCAAAATTAGATGACCTCTAAGATCTTTTTTGATTTTAAATTCTAATGTTCCCTCTTAGGAAGAACCTTAAAACAGTGTTTCCCAAGTTGATTTGCCCATAGAACACTTTTAAACATTATGTAAAGACAGAAAAATGTTTGATACTCATAAGATACTGAGTGTTTGAATTAAAAGAAGGAACCAAAACATGGTTCCATAGATAAATGATTTGGCTCAATAAATGGTTATACTTTTATTTATATAGTTCTTTTTTTTCCCCCATTGCAGAACAAAGAGAGCAAAATAGGTGTTAAAATTAAAGACACACAAATCCATAAGACCACGTTATAATCAAAAGGAAACCACATATTTCACCTCAGTAGTTGAAATGCTGCAGATATGTATCGAATGTCCTATATTGCTGCATAAATTAATACACTCCACTTTCTGGCATTTTTTGGAAATAGCGTTCATTACTAAAAGGCAGTTCTTCATATAATAAGAATTCTATAACTAGTTCTTATATACTTAAAAAAAATTTTAGAAGACAAATCTCCAGATATTTTTAAAAATCATCTTGGAACACTGGTGTCTTTTAGAATATAGTTTGGGAAATAATGTCCTTAAAACGTATGCTAAGGACTATAACTTTTTAAAAGTATCTGGAAATTTGTAAATGGCTACCTAAATTCTTTTAGCACTGGGTGTGTATACTCTTAACTTTTATACCTAATATACCCTTGAAATAAGTTTTTCACTTATTTTATTAATACATAATAGCTTTATATTTTTACCTCATTGCTATAGGGTTTCTTTCATACTTTCTTGTTGCCTCTTTGATTTTTATTTGTGAAAACCAGCCTCTATATGCTGTTCCATTTCTGGTATAGTAAATAAAGACAAAAATATTAGAAATGTGCTTTCTGCCAAGGCATATACTGTTTAAATACATAATAGAATTCTGAGGAGTTGAATATTTCTGTTCCAAGCAACAGTAAATTGGAGAGGAGGTGGCCAGCATGGTGAAATATCTTCTGTTTTTAACTACAAGGCTGTGATAGCAAGGAGGTTCCTTAAAATTAGGACATATAACAACCATTAGGAACTGAGAAAAACTGTAATGATAACTGCTTAATTTTATTTTTAACTACAGAAGTTAATGCTTTATTTGTATCTCACAGCAAAAGTTCAAACAGACCCTCCCTCAGTTCCAATATGTGACCTGTATCCTAACGGTGTATTTCCCAAAGGACAAGAATGCGAGTACCCACCCACACAAGATGGGTAAGAATCATAAAATAACTTCCAGTTTGACTTTGAAAGTTGTAGCTTAGCAATAAAGCGGATTTGATTTTTCTCAGAACTTGGCTCCACTACCTTAATAAAAGCTTGTGAATTTGTTACAGAAAATACAGTAGAAGCCCTCTTATCCAAAATGATTGGGACCAGTAATAGTTCAGTTAATCAAAAAAGCATGTTAAAGTGGGGATCACAAAACATAAAAATCTTTATTGATAAAAATTAACTTAAACATTTGTTTTTCATCAGTCTCAGTATTTGAACATGGATTTGTATTGTACTCCACTTTTTTCTTCCCATAATCTATATCCATAATGCATTGTCTATAAATGTAATCCATTTTGAGCTTCCGTGAAGAATAAAAGCTAATTAATCTGAGGGCTGATACCTGGATGTTTACATTTTTTTCCTGAAACCATTTGCAGTTCTTACCTACACTTAATTTGACAGAAATATTTTTTGATGACTTGCCTTTATTGAGACTTTTCTGAGTAGTCAGTTTCATTGGAAAAATTCTTTTTATGTACTATATAACTAAATTACATAATTATACTAACAAGTACAGATGACTTACACTGGTTTGCAGACAAATCACCTGATTGTTGGAAGACAAATCACCTGATTCTGAAAGGATACATTTCAGCTGGTCAGCAGACACTCAGTGGCATTATGCTGACTGGTTAAGAACACGGAAGCTGGGATTCACTTGAACACTTATTAGCTTTGTGACTTGGGCAAGTAATTTATCATGTCTTTGCTTTCATTTCTTCATCTATAAAATGAGCACTTCATAGGGTTGTGAGGAATAATATATGTAAAGCACTTAGGAGAGTAACAGACACATGGTAAGCATTAAGTGTTAGCTGCTGCTGTTATTATTATTCAGAACAGGAACCTGTCAGCCCGTCATATTCAGCATACAATGGGCATTGGTTAGTATATTTTACAGAGAGACTCAAGAGCATCAGTTAATCCAGTGGTTGCAATAGTTGGTTAAGAAAGCTTCTACTGTAGCCTTGTTTCATTGATTTGTAGACATCATTGTTTTTCTTTAAACTTTAGGAAAGAACATGATGTTATATTTTAATCCCCCTCCTTCATTCCCCGTACTTTCAGAGAATAAGTATAAAGTTCTGAAATTTTATGTCATGAGCATGTTTTCTTTGAATTTGAATTCATCAGTCACTATCCCTCTCTTAAAGCATCTATTTTTGAAATGTCACAGACAAGTAATTTCACATTAATTAACTTAAATTTTCATAGTACATATAATCACATTTATTTTTAAATACAATATTTTATTTATTTATTTATTTATTTTGCTTGTTTCCTCTTCCTTCCCTTCCTTCCAGACCCATGTAACCACCTAGCAGGAGCCTTCCATATTTTTATACACTCATATTTGTGTACATCTTGTGTCTGTTTATGTAATGGGACTCTTGGTCTTGTTTTCCAAAATGGAATCCTAGGCACACTTTCCTCACCTTTTCTCCTTCAGGACTATCTCTTGGAAGGCCCTCCAAGTCAGTCAGAATAGCAGTTATTCTTTTGAATGGCTTCATAATATTCCATAGTGTGAATATGCCATACATTATTCCACTGTTTTCTAATTGATGAGCCTTCATTTTGTCTGTTTTGCCATATTACAAACCATTCTGTAATGAACATTTCTATGAATATACATATACATATATATTTTATATATATATATATATACACACACACACACACACGTGTGTGTGTATTATCTCCTTATGTTATGGCAGTTTTATTATGGGATAGTTTTCCAGGAGTGGAGTTGCTGAATCAAAGAATATATTAATACTTTAGCTTATGATTCCCAAACTGCTAATGATTTTGAGCACTTTTTGATTGTTGACTTTGTTCTTTTGTTCTTCCAAAAGTTTTAAAATTTTGTATACAGTGTATGTCTATGTTTTATATTTCTGGGTTCCTAGCAGTCTCTTAGATTTTTTTTCAAACTCTTACTCTGTGTTTTATTACATCTTTAGTTAGTCTGGAATTTTTTTTGTATAGGATTGGGAGTGCTAATTTTATTTTCTTTCAAATGGATAGCCAGTTGTGCTAGAATTGTTTATTAAATAATTCATTCTACTGAATTGAATGCCCACCTTTGCCATATACTATATTCTCATATAATGGAACTATATTTTCATAATCAACCAATTTCTATTATTCTACTGATCTACTTGTGTATTCCTATGCTAGTACTATTTGGATCTGATTATCAGCAACTTTATAATATATATTGATAGTTTGATAAGGCAAGTCTTTCTCTGCCACACGCACCAAGCGCAGTTCTTTTTTATACTTAGCTATTCTCGGTCACATAGTCTTAACACACATACCCACAGAAAAATGCTTTCTTTAGAATTCTGATCAGAATTTATGTATTGGTTTCAGAAAATTGACAGGTGTGTCACATTGTCTTACCCATTGTCATAGTTTGTTTTCCCACTTACTCTGATTTATTTTCAGGTAGATCCTGTTCCTTTTTTGTTAAATTTATTTTTAAGTATTTTATGGTTTTGTTACTGATGTAAACAAGATGTTTTTATACCTGTTTCCATTTCTATATGTGTATTGCTAAAGTGGAAGAAAGCCATTGATTTCCTATACTTATTAATAGATTGTTAATATTTTTAACCATGTGAATGTGGTGGAACACTTGAAGTAATGTTTAATACAAGAAAAATTGAGATTTTTATAAACGTTAAAGACTACCTTTCCCTCCTTACTATCATTTTCTATTGCAAATTAAACATTATGGAGGTAGAATAACTTCTGCTTTTGAAACAATAGAGGAAGATATTAATTATATGTTATAATAGTTTTTGGAGTAATACTTAAATATTGAAAAGCAGTGTTGGGGGCACCTGGGTGGCTCAGTCATTAAGTGTCTGCCTTTGGCTCAGGTCATGATCCTAGGTCCTGGGATCGAGCCCCGTATCAGGCTCCCTGCTCCAAGGGAAGCCTGCTTCTCCCTCTCCCACTCCCCCTGCTTGTGTTCCCTCTCTCGCTGTGTCTCTCTCTGTCAAATAAATAAAATCTTTAAAAAAAAAAAGAAAAGAAAGGCAATGTTGTATGCCATGGAGAAATAAAAAAAAATTATTGTGATTATGTTTGCTCTTTAGTAAGTTTTGATATTTTTGACATTCATATAATCAGTTTTGATTATTTGCAAATAGATCAGAATCAGTATTCTTAATACTTGGTAAAGTATTAAATATAGTTTTGTATCTGCCTTCATTTTGTTTTTGGTTTTCATTTAAATTCCAGTTAACATACAGTTTCAGGTGTACAACATAGTGCAAGTGCACTCCTTGATCCCCATCACCTGTTTCACCCATCCCCCACACCTCCTCCCCTCTGGTAACCATCAATTTGTTCTCTATAGTTAAGAGTCTGTTTCTTGGTTTGCCTCTCTCTCTCTTTTTTTTTTCCCCTTCATTGTTTTTTTTTAATAAACTTACTAAAAATTATATGAATTATCACAACTTACCTGTGTAACGACCACTCAGGTTGAGTACAATATTTTATTTAACTTTTTATTTTTGAAATAATTCCATATTAAGAGAATAGTACAAAGAACTCCTACGTACTTTTCATTTCAGGTTCTCTTTAACATTTGCCTCATCTATCGTTCTCTCTCCCAATGGAATATGACAATTATACATATACTGTATAATATACCAGTAAGATTACATTTTCTCCTTGCAAGATAGAAAGAAGGTAAATGTGGAAAATAATATATTGGTGAATCTGTATACATACTACTTTTTCTGAATTAACTTGAGAGAAGTTTGTGTATTTTTTAAAAGATTTTATTTCTTAGAGCACGAGTAGGGGCAGGGGCAAAGAGAGAGGGAAAGGGAGAAGCAGACTCCCCACTGAGCACAGGACCAGCCTGCCTAGATCATGACCTGAGCCAAAGTCAGAAGCTTTTAACCGACTCAGCCACCCAGGCACCCCAGTAGTTTGTGTTTTTTGGATGGAATATACTAGACAAGTAGGTAATTCATGGTTTACCTCACATCTGGAGGCACATGATGTCAGATTTTATCACTAAGATAAGTATTATCCAGTTTCTCTAGTTTGTCATTACTGTTTTTCCCTCTTGTAATTAGTAATTTTCCTTTTTTAAAAATATTGACATTCTGTGCGCATTTCCTGTGTCATTAAAAATTTTTTAAACCAATTTTGAATGATTATAATGCTATTCTGTTTTATACTTAGCATAATTTTATTAGTGATTTCCCTATTTTTGAATATTTCCCTAGTTTTTTAGATTTTTACTATTAGAAAAAATTCTGTGATGAACATCTTAGTATTAATCAGGTCTGATTTTTCTCTTACTCTGTATCTCTAGAAGTAGAATCAAGAATTATTTTGAAATTCTTGATATCTATTTCTAAATTTAGGAGGCAGTTGTTTGGGACAGTTGTTCTATAAGCAATACATATCCATTATAGAAGAGGTAGGAAATACAGATAAGCAAAAAGAAAAATCTTCTAAATTCTGCCAATGAATTTTAAAACCACTATTGACATGCTGTTTCTTCCTCTGTTGCCTCTGTATACAGATGTGTATTATAAATACCTGGGAATGTTTTTCAAGATAGAACTATACTACAAACAGCTTTGTAACCCATTTCTAAATTTGTTTTCATGTTAGTAAAGAAATCAACAGTATTTTTATATGTCTCTATATATGTATGTGTTTTCTATTGTTTTTTTTTTTTTTTTTGCTAGACCATTTAAAAATAAGTCTTTTTTTTTTTTTTTTTTTTTTAATTCTCCAATCCCAACATGGAGCTTGAACTCATGACCCCAAGATCAAGAGTTGCATGTTCTACCAACAGAGCCAGCCAGGTGCCCCAAGTCTCTTTTGAGTCCTCACTTCTAAAAACTTCAAGCATCTGGTGGCCTGGGTAGCTCAGTTGTTAGGTGTCCGACTCTTGATCTCAGCTCAGGTCTTTTTTTTTTTTTTTTTTTAATTAAGATTTATTTAATTATTTCAGAAGGAGGGGTAGGGACATAGGGAGAGGGAGAAGGAAAGAAGCAGACTCCCCTCTGGGAGCGGAGCCTGTCGAGGATGGATCTCACAACTCTGAGATCATGACCTGAGCCAAAATCAAGAGTTGGAAGCTTAACCGACTGAGTTGCCCACGTGCCCCTCAGCTCAAGTCTTGATCTCAGGGTCATGAGTTTGAGCCCCGAGTTCGGCTTCATGCTGGGCGTGGAGCCTACTTAAGAAAATAAACTTTAAGCATCTCCCAAGAATTAGATATTCTTGTGTAAATTATCACGTTTACATAAATTAACAGTAATTTTCCAGTATCATGTAAATACCTAGTTCATATTTAGAATTTTATTGTTTTCCTTGTGGTGTCATTAAACTTTTCTCTATTCCTTTATTTTCTGTGAACTGGAATTAGTTGTAAAGGGTTACATTAGATTTAGATAAAGCACTTTGGCAGGAACATATAAGTGATACTATGTTCATATTGTGTCATAGTCTGTTGCATCAGATGTAAAGTCAGGTTTTCTATGACTAGTTTTACTGTATTTGATCACTTGGTTAATGTGGTCACAGCCCACTGTTTCTTTTTTAAAGGTACTTTTTTCTTTTTTGCAGTTTCCAAGTAATCTGTGGGGGTAGTTTGGTACCATTGGAATATCCTTTTCTTCAACAACTTTTTACTTAATTATTTTAGTATCTATTCATGCATTATCAGTTATTTCATTGGGGACTGCAAAATGGTGAATTTCTAATTCTGTTGTTCCTTCTACATTTATTAGCTGACCTAAAAGAAGAATTTTCCTTTATCAGCTGGGTATCAATTAACTTTATCAGTTAACTATGGTTTCTTATAGGCAGAGTTAAAACATGCTTTTTTTGCCCCTTTTAAGTACCAGTTTTCAGAGGAAGGAATTGGTGTCATGTCTGTGTGTGTTCTTAATTATTTCTGGGGTAAAGACATGCCTTTTTATTTTTTTATTTTTAGTTTTTAAAGACATGCATTTTTAAATGGTTTTTTATAAATGTGGCCTATAGTGCTTTAAAGATACAAATATAACTAGCTTTTAAGTTATCTATGCGATGAGTTCAGAAATGTTTATGACTGTTTGAAATTAATAGTTGGATTCCTTTGTATCTTTTGGTTTTACTTATATTTTATGCTTTTAATCTAGTAAAAATGATGAAAAACTGAAAAGACTCAAATATGAAAGAGGTGTGAATTTATATACTCTGTAAACACTTCTATAAAGATTCTCTTTCAAGCAGTTATTCTGATAGTTTTGTTGCAGACATAACAAAATTTAAAAGCATTTCTAACCCACCTCTGTCAGTTGGATGAATTAATTGCCCTTTCAGATAATTATTATGAGCTCAGAATGTTTTTTTTTTTCATCTTACTAATTTCTCTGTTTTTGCTAAACAGACTGAACATCAAAATATTAAATTTAGGAAAGGGGAGAGGCTCCTTCATAATATTTTTTGTAAATAGTACAAGCTTGGAATTATGATTTTAGATGCTTGAATATTACTCTAATGACTTTCAATTTGAACTTAAGACTTAGAAAAATAATTTCTTTAATCCATTTTCTGATTGGTAACTCTTACCAATAATGAAGAACATGCCATAACCTTTCAAAGAATTCACTGCTTCTAAGAATCAGCTATGCAGCTTCAGAAGTGTAAGATCATGTGAGGCTTGTTGATTTCAGGATTGGGGCTCTTTATTGTACTATATTCTGATTCTAAAATGTAGTCAAATAGCATTTGGAACTTAATTATACTTAACATTTTAACCTATAAGAAGTGGATTTGAAGAATTGAGAAGAAATGGGAATTGATAATGACCAATTTCATTTTCATGGCTGATATCCATCAGTTACAGTCTGTCATCTTACCATTCTAGAGAAAACGTTTGAGGATATTTTTGCTTTTCACGAAAATGTCTGGCTTTTGAGACAGGGCTGTGCATATAGGTATGGCTGTAGTATATGTGCCAGAGTTATGGCCCACGTAAGAGACGGAGAATTGTGATATGTTTAGTTTAAAAATTGATCTGAGACCTTACCCAGTACTCTTATGTCTGAAAATGATTTGTTCTTAGAATATTCGGATTCTTGGTTCCCAGGGAAGATTTTTGGATTCATGGGAGAGAAAGGACTGGAGTTACATCTGGAGGTCAGGAGATTGTGGCTTGTCTATCCCATCATGGAGTAAGCAACTATAAGTGTACTGCAGCTGAAAAAGGTTGAGCCACATGTTGAGAATATACTTTTAAAGGATCTTAACCTGTTACCTTCTAGTCTGAGGATGTTCATTTGAATACTTTTATTAGAAATTGCCTCTTGAGTCTTCACTGTTCTGATAAAAGTAGTTCATACACATTTAAATGTTTGTGGAGTTTAAAACTGACCTTAACAGATGGTGCTGCAATACTTCAGTTTTCTGATAACATCAGTGTACAGATCCAAAATACATTTCCAAAGAAAATAAGTCAAAGAAGCCTCTGTGATGCTTAACTATCCCTAAATTGACATAGGACAGCTCCTTTGGATCTTGGTAGTAAATTAGAAGTGTTAGTTGTTGGCACCCAGGTAACTGCTGCAGTAGGAAGTAATCATAATGAACCTGACAGTGACACAGAAAAACTCACAGCATTTGGGAGCATTAACTTAGGGGCATAGTGTAGAGCAGTTGTATAAACTTTTTCTTTAAAGAGCCATATAGTAAATATATCAGGCCTTGGGTGTTACTCAGTTCTGCCTTTTTAGCATGCAAGTAGCTATAGACAGTATGTAAACAAATGGACATAACTATATTGCAGTAGAATTTTATTTACAAAACAGGTGCTAGGCTGGATTTGCCTGTAGGCCATATTTTGAGATAAATAGTAATTCCTTGAAGGCATCACTTTTATAATTGAATATAATTTATATGTCGGTGATCACTGAGTTTGTGAGCTGTATATTCAATATTGCTTAGTGTGTGAAAGTTACAACAGTTTTTTGAAAGATTTTCATTTGAAAACAGTTATTGCTTTTGAAATATACTGCTTAAAGGGGGTCAGTGGATCTCCTCATTCCCAGATACTGAATAAAAATGTTTGTTACTCCTGGAAGTTTTGAAATATGAGCCATATCCTTCAAGGAAGATCACTTCATAGATAGATTAGATTAGATAGATATATAGATATATATACATACACATACATACAGTTAGAAAAATCCTACAAAAACAAATTTATGTTTTGAGGGAGGTGTATGTAGATTTCCAGGTCAAGTTTTTACATTAGTACTTACCCTGTGTATGAAGTTAAATGCCAATTTTTGGTATGGTCTTTTGAAGTCTCTTAGACTGTAACCTTGAGTGGAACCTTTTTCTCCCACTCCTTGGTTTCTAGGACTCTCTTCTGTCTTCTTATTTTTTCTTTTTGTGTTTTTTGTGTGTGTGTGGCAGAGTTTTAGTCTCTCTGACTATGAATGAAATCTCACTTGAGGATTATTTTTTGAGTCTTAAGGTTTAACTTGATTTGGCTTGATTGTGTGACTACTTGTACTTCAGAAATTTTGCTGACATTTAATAAAAGAAACTGAATGTGTAACATTTTTATCTAAAATGTCTTATATTAGTATATTTGTATCTCCGCTTTTATGCTTATCAGCTGTTTCTTAAATGACTAATACTGTGGTGTACATACTATAAAGGCGAACAGCTGCTTGGAGAACTACGAGTGAAGAAAAGAAAGCGTTAGATCAAGCTAGTGAAGAGATTTGGAATGATTTTCGAGAAGCTGCGGAAGCACATCGACAAGTTAGAAAATATGTTATGAGCTGGATCAAGCCTGGGATGACAATGATAGAAATCTGGTAAAAGGAATATGTTTTTTGTAAGAACATGATAAAAAAGTTGGGTTTTTTTCTTTTTTTTTTTTTTTAGTGCTAACTCCAATTGTATTGTTTGGCTTTCAATACTACTTTGCTAAGTAAGACCTGAAGTGAAGCTTCTAGAAATATCTCTGGGTTCTTGTACTGTAGATGTACTGAGGAAATTGTAAGAGGACATTTGTACCTCAACCACCCTATTTTGTACTCATGTACACTTATATGTGCAAATGCACACAATACTGTGATTCTTCTATTCTGTTTGAAAATCTGTTATTTTGCTGTCTAACAATTCATATTAAATTAGAATTATTGGTCATGAAACATAGTTACAATGCAGTGAAGAAACCAATAAAAGTAATTATTTCTCTAGTTTTCCCTTTGAGAAGTAATTAGCTGTAAAAGGCAACAGTTCTCTAATTCAGACAGTTTTTAAAATGTGCAACATTGAGCAAATAAAACATAATCAACATTTAAATTGAAGTCAAGAATCTCATTTCCTAGGAAACTAAGCTAAAAGTGGATCATGTGGTTTTGTTTCTTCAGATTTCTAGCAGAATTAAATTCTTTTATCTTTTAGGGAGGAGTTACTATTTTCATAGCATCAGAGAACTGTTACTTACTCACATCCAGGAAGTGCTCAGATCACTCCCAGAAAGTAATTTAAGAGTTTTTAGTAAACTCTCTGGACCTGATGACCAGTAAGGTATATAAGGATAAAAATGTATTTTTTTTAATAGTGAAAAGTTGGAAGACTGCTCACGAAAGCTAATTAAAGAGAATGGATTAAATGCAGGCCTGGCATTTCCTACCGGATGTTCTCTGAATAACTGTGCTGCCCATTATACTCCAAATGCTGGTGACACAACAGTATTACAGTATGATGACATCTGTAAGATAGACTTTGGAACACATATAAGTGGTGAGTTCTTGGAAATAAGCCCCCCCCCAACAAAAAAAAAAAGTCTTCTCTCTGTTGGATGGGGCTGCAGGTACTTGAATTCCCCAATTTTCTTCTTTATGCCTCACTTTTCAGTAAGGCTGTGTTGAGGCAGATTTTGAGATTTACTTTTAAGCATCCTGCTAAATGGAGTATAATGCAAACTGTGGTAGTTGAGGTTTATTATTCTTTTTATCAAAGTGTGAAGAATTTAATCATACATTTCTTCATGTTGTTCTTTCAGACGTTTATCCGTATAACAACAACAAACATTTACTTAGATCCTTTAAGTTTATCAACCTTTATATACTTGCTGGCTTTTTTAAATTCTCTCCCAACCCTTCTTAGGTTAGTACCTTTTTTATCTCACTTCAGGTGAGAAAATAAAGCTCAGATTAAGTACTTACCTGAGGATTTGCTAAATTGGAGAAGCTGGACTGACAATTAGTGTCTGTGGACCTATACATTTTCTCTGCCCACATTGTGATTCTTTAGTACCCCGGGTTTTTCTCTTTGATTTGTTTCTGTTTATAATTTTGCTTATCCATCTGAGTTAGTACTGAATTGGTACTATCTTGAAGTAATATATACTAACACTGGAAATAGTCTTTTTATTCTGAAACCTTTATGTAACTTATATTTTTTTCCACTTTTGATTGTGAATGCTGTCTGGGTAGTTGGGACTGTTGCCTTCATTTGACCCATCATTTTATTTTCCTTTTAATTAGCAAGGTTAATAGAGTAGATGCTGTGAAGTAGACAAATTGACTAGCTGATAAGTCAACTTAAGAATTTTCTCTTTCAGGTAGGATTATTGACTGTGCTTTTACTGTTACTTTTAATCCCAAATATGATACATTATTAAAAGCTGTAAAAGATGCCACTAACACTGGAATAAAGGTATGTGAACTAGAAGCACAATTTCATTCAACATATTTTGAACATCTTATAGCCTGTTTAAGGTCTTTGGATTATGTAAGACCAGTCTACTGCCCTTAGGGTTTTAAGTGGGTAATTCTAGTACAATGTACCAAAGACTTTAAAGAGGAAGTTATAATGTGCAAAGCAGTTTACTTAATTGTCCTTTATTTTAAAATACTAATAAATTGCTATAAAATTCTGCATTTTGAGTAACAAAGTATACATCATTTTGTTTTTAGTGTGCTGGAATTGATGTCCGTCTGTGTGATGTTGGCGAGGCCATACAAGAAGTTATGGAATCCTATGAGGTTGAAATAGATGGGAAGACATATCAAGGTATGTTTTAAAAAAAAAAAACTATCTTATTTTGAAATGCATGTGACCTCTTGCAGAATTAATTTTGCAAAATAGTGTTGAGTGCTTTCTTTGGGTCAGCTGCTTTATCTTTATCTCCTGGGAATATAAAGAGGGAAAATGGGGGTGGGGGAGGGGACAATGAATGACCTCCTCATATTAGGAAAACTGTGGTCACTAGGTGGGAACTATTGCGAAGCTACTGTGGTAGCTGATGGGACACCCAGGGATTTATCCCAGATTGACCAAAATGCAGACTTGGTTTTCTGTGACGATTCAGACTGAGGCTCAGAGACAAACCAGAGGCTCTTTGCATTGATGACCAACCCCCCCCCCGCCCCCTGCTTTTTTTGAATTGAATTCAGAATTTAGAGTCCGGTTAATTTCTTGTGTGTCTTTCCTTTAATCTTTATTCCCTTTGCCTCTTAGTCTTTCCTAGCTACTGCCTTAGGTACGTAGTCCCAGAGTCAGACCTATGCTTTCTGCTGCTTTCCTATCATTCCAGCCTTCTCCAGCTCTCAGGGTCTGACCACTATCCCCCTTCCTAATCTGCTCACTGTTTTCTGTAACTGCTATTCTAATAACTTTCTCACAGAATATTTCTTACATTTCCTTTAATCAAATCCTGTCTCTTCTTTATATTCCTCTTTGCAGAGACACTCTTGCTTCCTTGCCCTCAGTAAATTCACATCATTTAGCATTTTTTGCATAACTTTGCTGATAGTGATAGAGTATTATGTTTCTACCAACTACAAAAGGGGTTCTTCCTCTGTGACCCGATGGTGTCTGTCCTTGTTGCTCTCTCTCAGATCCTGTGAACACCAGCACAAATCAAAATACTCTTAAGGCTGCTCACACTTGGATGGGAGGTATTATGGGATAATGAAGAAAACATACTATAGGGTCAGATGGGTCTATCTTTGAACTTAGATAAACCCTGTAAACAGAACCCAAGTTTCTTTGACTATAGTAAGATTAATGATACCATGTTTCTTTGTTTTTCTGTTTTTTAAGAAAAGTAAATTTTATGACAGTGCCTGGAATTTATTAGTATTCAACAAATTTGTCATTTCCTGTCCCCAGATTTGGGATTGGTGCCACAACAAACAAAGCTTATTCAAGTCCCTCTCAAATCAGCTTTCCCTCCTATCTTTTCCTAATTCTGCAGCTTTGGTTGGCTTCCGCTCTGCCTTTCAAGGTATATTGACAGTTTGACTTAATGTTTAGTCACCACATAACAATGCCAACCTGAAATACTGGAATCAGTATCTGCCTTCTTACTCTTTCCCTTAAGCCAGTGCAACATTTTAGGTTCTGTTGTTTCAGCACCCCTTTTTTGATACCAGTTATTGTGTTGATCAAGGTTCTTAGTGGAGGGTGGCATAATTAATTAATTTTTACTACTTTGAGCAGAAAGTGCATAGACAAATCATGATGTTGGGAAGATGAAAAAATGGACGAAAAGCTGTACTCCCAGCAGCACTTTCCAAAACCACGTAAAAGAACTGAGCCATCAAGGGAGTGATTTTATTTACCTTGATCAGGAAGCTGCAGACTGGAAAGTTAACTTTATAGTTACTGGTCCCAGAATTAGCCTGCTGCTGTCACAACCTGTATAATATACAGATGGATACTCCTGTGCCCTGCTTCTGTGTAACTTGGTTGTATGTTAGGTTAGTATAGCTAAGCAATTTTTTTATGTAAATGTGTTATTGATTGGCCTGTGGGGTAAGTTTGCCAGGTCTTGGAGAAATGATGATGCTTGCTGAATTTTAAAGTAAATTTAGCTTATCATTTGTATAAGAAGGAGAATTTTTTTGAAGAGCTAATTGGGAGTTTTATTTTCCGGTGCCACTCCCTAAATGTCATTGTTTCATTGTTGTAGAGTTGAAAAAAACCTTGCTACCTAATTCTGCCCTGAAAGAAAGGTAGCTTGTACTGAGAATTCTAGCCCTGTAAAGCTAGATTTTTTAAAAAATCTTTTTTTATTGTGGAATTATGTTGTGTGTGAAGAGACACAACATAAAAATTCAATTAAGCGGAATAGAATATTGCCAGCATTCCAAAAGCCCTTCAGTTCTGTATACCCTTTTGAATTACAGCAGCCTTCCTCTAGCAAACCACTGTCTGGAGTGCTAAAGTATTTTCATTTGCTTTTCTTAATGTCTTTATTACCTAATTATGCATCCCTAAATAATAGTATAATTGTGCTTAATTTTGATATGTATAATAAAACAGTATGTATATAATTGTGCCTTCTTCTGTTCTTTTTTCTTTAGGTTTTATTTCAGTTGTTCACTGTATTCCCAACTTTTTGTTTTTATTGTTGTGTAGTGTTCCATTGTGTGAATATACCACAGTTCGTTCTGTCATTGGTCTCAGGACCTTGGAATTGTTTAGATTTTCCTTATTAACACACTTGAGCTGTGCTATAATTATAAAATTTAGTTTTATAATCCTGTCATTTGGACAAAGAATCCTCATTTTCACATTACCTTTTGGACCATAACTATATTTTTTGTTTGTAATCACAACGTACATGGCATTTTATAACTTTTATTAACAATACCTCCTTAATCGAGTCCCGCATTGGGCTCCCTGCTCGGCAGGGAGCCTGCTTCTCCCTCTGACCCTCCCCCCTCTCAAGTGCTCTCTGTCTCTCTCATTCTCTCTGTCTCAAATAAATAAATAAAATCTTAAAAAAAAAAAAAAAAAAAATACCTCCTTAGATGCATCCCCATTGTATCCTCATAACATAGTTTGTTCTTTTCCCATCATCTCACCTTCCTCCCTTCTAGTTTTTAATCAGTAACACTGTAGTAAACATCTTTTCATATTCCACTAGTTTTCCAGTTTGTATGTAACTATGTCAGTGTGAGGTTATTTAGTAGAGCCATGTCTTATTTTTAAGTCAATGCTTAAACTCTGTGCCAGAAAGCCAAGAGATGTTTGTGCTCCTGAAGACCTTGAATAAACTATCTTTTCCTATTATGCCAGTGAAACCAATCCGTAACCTAAATGGACATTCAATCGGGCCATATAGAATACATGCTGGGAAAACAGTGCCCATTGTGAAAGGAGGAGAGGCAACAAGAATGGAGGTATGTGTGCCATTAACAGTGTTTTTTTATGAAGCATTTTTATTTTTTTTCCAAACTAAAGTTGGTGATAGTTGAGTATGTAGTATGTTGAGCAAAATTAACTTGCCATCTATACTCCGATAGGAATTGGTCTGTGTGAATGTGCAGATCATGTCTGGTTAGACTATGGCTCAGTTAGCTGTGGAAGTTGGGTATGCCAAAGGATTGTTTTTTCACCACTTACTAAGCTAAGCATCTCTTAGGTGCCAGTCTCTTTAGTAGTCCCTGAGGATGCATTAGTGAACAAAATAAAATTCCCTGCCCATGTAAAGGCTGCATTTTTTTTTTCTTAAGTAGGCTCCATGCCCAGTGTGGAGCCCGACGTGGGGCTTGAACTCAACAACCCTGAGATCAAGACCTGAGCTGAGATCAAGAGTCGGACACTTAACCGACTGAGTCACCTAGGCACCCCATAAAGGCTACATTCTAATAGGACACAGAAAGACCAAACAGTGCTAAGGAGATAAAGCAGGGAAGGGTGAATAATGACTGCCAGGGGTTATTTCATGTTTCTTACATGAAGTAAATAATACCTCAGGCTGCAGTTAACAAATGGCAATTTTAATTAGTTCTGGATTTTTCTTCTCTCCCCCTGGCCCTTACATATTCTTTAGGAAGGAGAAGTATATGCCATTGAAACCTTTGGAAGCACAGGAAAAGGCGTTGTTCATGATGATATGGAATGTTCACACTATATGAAAAATTTTGATGTTGGACATGTGCCAATCAGGTGAGAGACCATTATTTTTATAGAAGTTTCTTTTCCCAGTTAGCAGCATTTTAAAAAATTTGACAGACATCCACAGTGGTACATTCATAAATGTACAGTTCTATAGCCTACCAGTAAGTTTTGTGGATTTTTATAATACAGCAAAGAAATTGCCCTGTTAAAAATCTTAACTGAGATAAAAATGATACAGGCAAGTATTCTCTTAAGATCCAGTTTCCAGTAACAATTTGAGAGGTGATTATTTTGCTGGCATTTCTAGGTGGTGGTTTTTAACATTTTCCTATTGGTAAACTTCCTATTTTTACCCTTTTTTCCCCCTTAAACTTTTTGGAAAAGATGGTTGAAAGATGGATTTATACCTCCTTGTGTGCAGGTCTTTCAGCTTGATGCACAAAAAAGGAAATTCCCACCATAGTACTCTTGATGAGTCTCTACTGGGAATTTAACAAACACGTGTGCGTAAACACATAAATATGATAAGATAGCCTTCAGCTGGTCTCCCATTCAGCTGCCATGTATAATTAGGTATGGGCTGTTATACATTCTGACTTCTGAATGTTGAAAGAGGCAACAAAAAGGTTTTTGAATTACTGAGTGAAGCCACGTCTACTGTATAAGTTTTCCTTAACGGGGAAAATGAGTGGGTAACTTTTTAGCTACCTGTTAATTTTGGATTTTCTCCTCTTAGGCTTCCAAGAACAAAACACTTGTTGAATGTCATCAATGAAAACTTTGGCACCCTTGCCTTCTGCCGCCGATGGCTGGATCGCTTGGGAGAAAGTAAATACTTGATGGCTTTGAAGAATCTGTGTGACTTGGGCATTGTAGATCCGTATCCACCATTATGTGACATTAAAGGATCATATACAGCGCAGTTTGAACATACCATACTGCTGCGTCCAACGTGTAAAGAAGTTGTCAGCAGAGGAGATGACTATTAAACTTAGTCCAAAGCCGCCTCGACATCTTTTATTTTCTAAGCTTTGTTGGAATACATTATACCAGAAGTAATTTGCAACATGTTGTCTGTTTAACAGTGGACCTATGTAATGCTTTTATCCATGTTTAAAAAGGAAGGAGTTTGATCAAAGGCAAACCATCTAATGTAATTAGCCAAGGAAGAAGCTTTCAGGACTTTGAAATGTTAACTGTTTTTCCCATCTAGGAAATGCTATAAAGCTCAAATTAGTTAGGAATGACTTCTACATTTTTTGTTTTGAACACCTAAGAGATGCTTTTCAGATATTTATATTGCCATATTCTTAATTGAATGCTTTGAATGACTACATCCAATTCTGCACCTATACCCTCTGGTATTGCTTTTTAACCTTCCTGGAATCCATTTTCTAAAAAATAAAGACATTTTCAGATCTGAGAGCTATATTTCAATGTCTGTGGTTATAATTCTGCACAGGAATTAGCTAAACATAAATAGCTAAGCATGTAGGGAAATGTAGAGCCTTGTATCTTGATTGTAGACCTCTACACTGAAACTTTTCTTCTGACATAGCGGCTAAAACAAGATCTATACATGCATTAACTGGGAGAATCTTCATAAATTAATATAGAGCTTTAGGAATAGTTTGCCTTTATTTTCTTTTTAGAACCATATTAATCTGTCTTTCATTTTTTCCCCCTGACATTGGAAAGATCTATTAATTGAAACATGACCTAGTAGGAATATGTACCAGCTTGAAACCTTGATTAGTAAAATCTCAACATTTAGATCCTTTGTCCAGTGGTAGTACTTATCAGGAAATGTACTCAGCTTACTCAATAAACCAAAAGGGCATTTAAAACTAGAAATACTACAACAGGGAAACTTCTGTACTTTTAGATCGCGCTCTAGTTAGAAAAGTTTGATGGACTTATTAGGCTTTTTCATTAGTAAGCCAAATTATTTTAACACCCTGCCCCTTGACTGGCTTGAATTCAAAACTATGGTGGCATTTCAGGGAGTGAGGTTACAGTAACACTCATTATGGCAGCTAAGTGCGTAAGTTGAATGTAAGATGCCGAATACTTGTTTGAACTGAGTCCCACTACAGATTCTTGAACAGATTGCTTGAATTCTTTGTAACTGATTTGTTGGGAATGTTCCAACATAATTTTAAAATTGTTTATGTACCAAGGTAAAGCCTTAATTTGTATATGCTTTAGCACAATAGGATTCACTGCCTCTGGGATGCTGTTTAGTTTGTATTTTAACATTTTTCTCATAGGAAGAAAAACCGGACTTCTGTACTTAGATCACTTACTATACATTAAAAAGCTGCTCTTTCAGCATTAGAACAATAAATGAATGTTATCTTGTGGGATAAACTAGTTTTTAGCTGTGAGCCATGTTTATTATGGTGCTAATGTTCAAGAGCTACTTTTGGATTATTTTCTCCATTTTCTGTGATGTGCTTAGTGGCAGAGCTCACCAGTTCATGCTTGGACATGTTATAGGTCTTGGGCCCTCCAGCTAGTTCTTTTGGGGTTCTGAGTCCATACGTTTTTGATGTGTTTTGGTGGGAGATAGAATCTTGATTCTAAGCTCAAGAGTTTTACAATTGACCTTATGAGTGAAGAATTTTGGAGCTTTGTAAGACCGCTTTAGCAGTAGTGATTTCAAACCAGTTATGCGTTCCAAGCTCCCCCGCTCAGGTAACTGTTGCGAGCGGTAGCATCACTGCAAGCCCCTGGAGTAGCTGGAAGGAATATGATCTTGTAAATAGGAAAGCTGTCACTTAAAAAAATTGTATTGTTTACCTACTAGCCATGTATCTCTTGAAATCATTTTGTCATGTTTACAATGATGTACCTTATTGGTAACAAATTATTAGTTTGATGTTTAACAAATAGTGCCTTTAGTAAATTATTTTACAACCAAAACATGTTGTTTTTTGTTAGATCAACTTAGTTGAATATAGACGTCTACACTGAGATATACAATAAGAAATCTAAGTTTCTGTTCATTGGCTACGTTTTAGTTTTGTTGTAAATTTAATAGACTTAATTTTTTTATATCAGTTTTAGGTTTGCAGCAAAATTGAGCATAGAGTTCCCATATAACCCCTTGACCTCATACACACAGCCTTCCCCATACGTTTGGTTCTGAGGGATTAAAGTAAAAGGCTAAGTCACTTTCTTTCATATATTTTTATATTGAAGTTAAGTACTGAAACAAGCAATTATACCATTACAAACAGCAAAGCTTCCAGAGTGGTTTTTTGTTCTTTTAGATTTTATTTGATAGAGATACAGCGAGAGAGGGAACACAAGCAGGGGGAGCGGGAGAGGGAGAAGCAGGCTTCCCGCTGAGCAGGGAGCCTGATGCGGGGCTCGATCCCAGGACCCTGGGATCATGACCTGAGCTGAAGGCAGACCGCTTAACTGACCGAGCCACCCAGGTGCCCCCAGAGTGGTTTTTAAAATATCTCCCTAAAATTAGGTACAAAAGTGTATAGCAGTTAACCCAAGGATAAAGTAATCCTTGAAATTAAAAGAGGCTAGACTCTAGTATCTTGACCACATAAATCTTTAATGAGGTATAATTACGTTAACAGTTGAGGTAACAACTTGCATAGGTACTTAAATGAACAATTTTAAACTTCAGCCATTTAATACTCAAGCTGTATTTTTGGCATAAATGATTTGTCTGTTCAGAGATAAATTCTCATTGCACTTCATGATCAGCTGCCCCAATGACTTGCTGTCTGAAATTTAAGTAAAATTTGCTAATAGGGGTCCTTTTCAAGCTTATACTTAATAGATGATCACTAGCAGAGAACAGCATTCTACAGGATATTATCTTTCATTAAGATTTCAACCTGCAAGAAAACCCACTTAAAAAAGGAAAAAATGATCTTCCAGTGGTTAACACTGAGCTAAGATGTTAAATAGCTGATCTATAGAGGTTAGTAATTAGCAGCAGTAGGATTTTGAAGAGATCTAGTAAGATTATTAAGGAAGAGCAAAGAGTATTTCATACTATATTTTTTAATAAAAAAGTTTAGATAATTTTTAATTAAAAAAGTAAGGCCCCAGTGTTTGAATATCTGAGGTTCCTAGTCTTCACATAATTGGAGCAAAAGTAATCCAACCCTTTAGTTATTTAGAAATATGAGATGCTGAACATGTTGCCCAGTTGCCAATTTTGAACAATTATCTTCTCCGTCCTATGCAATTTTTTTCTCTTCAAGAAGACATTTTTTTCCTTTAAAAATCTCAAGATACGATATGGTACAAAGCTTTTAAGAGATCTAATGTTAAACATATAAAATGAACTTACTCAAGTTAAACTGTACTTGTATATCATAATATACTGCTGAATTCAGATTTTTTGTAAGACTGCTTATTGGAATCTAGACAAACCTGTTTGCTGCCAAACAAATCATCATCATAAGTCCCAGCCATCATTGTTTTCATGTCCACACTACTGAAGTAATTTAAATATACTATAAAGCTGTAATTTTCATTTGTATAAAGTTGGACTATGCCAAATAAAGAACAATTATTAAAACTTAATAAATTTTTGGAAAAATGGAAGTTCCATTAACCAAAATAATGTCTATTCTGAGCCCTGTAATACACAAAGTCTCAGGAATATCAATTAGTCTGATTGATGAGTATTTAGGTAATACCTTGATATTTCACAATGAATGTAGGGTTGAACTCCCTTCAAGGGGCAAAGGTAACTTCAGTATACAAATGGCCTGAAATAATTTTTTTTTTTTTGGTATGACTATTAGTGAAGAAAGTATCTAATTTTCCATCTAAAAAGAATTTGTATAAAAAATGCCTACAAAAGATAAATAAATGTATAAAATGATGCCACCTGAACTTCAGTAAAAGATTGCACAAATTCATGATCTGAGCCAATTAAGACATCAAAATAAAAAAGAGGTAATGCCAGTCTGAAGTAAACACTATAAGTTTAAAACTCCCAAGTACTTGAAAAAAGTTTAGTTACCCGCTGTCATTGATATTCATGCTAATCTTGTCTCTGTGAAAGTTTTGTTGTAGATACAAAATGTATAAACAGTGCACTGATTCCTAAGTAAAAAATTAAAACAATGAAGCTCCAAATTGTAAGCCCTTTTAAAAAGTATATATAAAATCACAAGAAGAAAGCCCCACTGTCTTTGGATCAGCTAAGGATTTCATTAGAAGAGGTATCAGCTTCTTCATTGGGATGTTGGCTACCAGACAGGAGCTCTGGAGGCAAGAGTTTAGAATGTCCATTCTCAGTAACTCGCTGGGTATAAAACAAGATATAAGCTTGGGCCTTGCATACTTCGTCCATAGTGCACATGCTTAGCTTGGAGTCATTGCAGTGTACCCAGAACCCTAGAGTGAAGCACAGAAATACTTTACCTGAAGGCTTATAAAAGAATTTTAGAAGTTTCTAATATAAATTAATATGGATTTAAAGGCATTAGTTTCAGTGAGAGTTACATTTCTTTGAAGGGAAAATAACTAGCCATTTCATTTCTATTGATGAGAAATACAGCTTGGGCAGTATATTATTCTGGAATCATCTACCTTTATTCTAGAAGTAATCTGAAGTTAAAAAATCTGAGTAGTTCACTTGACACTATCTTTAATTCTAGGTATAATCTGACCAGTTAATGCTTTTGCTGCTAATCATATGTAGAGCAAACAGTGTACAACTCACTCTTGGTAGTTTATTGTTAAATTAATGGCCTTCATGGATTATGGCCTTCCACTCTTTTCTGGGTGAGGTGGAATGGTATGCATGGGGAGGCTCAGTCTTCGTTCAGTAGTAGTTAAAGGAAGGGGAAATAAAAAGTGAAACCTAAATCAATTTTGCTACCAATGAAGATTGTCCCTGAGGGTCCATGGAGGCAGTAAGTGAAAGTGAGTTTTATTAAAACCTGAACTCAGAGTTTGTTCTAAATATCTGTGATCCCCAGTTCATTAAATGCTCTGTTCTCTAACAAAATTAACTAGATGAAACCACTAAACAGAGGACCTGCCCTTAGAAATGTGCTTGTAAGGTAGCAATCTGACTTTTAATCAATGTGATCATCCTTACTATCCTATACCTACAGCCTTTGAAAGTCACAACTACTACAATCCTGCAGAAAATATCCCATTTTCTTCACAAACCTTTGTTTTTTTATGAACCGTAGTATTCGTAAAAAAAAAAAAAAAAAAAAAAAAAAAGGATCAAGTGGCTTCCCTTAGGATGATTTAGTGGCCAATTCAGAAATTGTAAAGCCTAAATACCAGGTTCCAAGTCTGACCCAAGATAAAATACTTTTCCCCATCTATACCTCCTTCAGAATTATAGCAGTAGGCAGTGTAGTGTCCTGAGCCAAATCCTTTCCCATGGTGCATTACTACAGCAGATAAATCATAGATAAAACATTCTGGTCTGAGGGATTTCAGGGATTCCCTGCAGCAATAAGGCTCCATGTTTAAGATTTCTTCAAAGCCAACATGAACACCAATTTTCTCTCGGTTATTACGTCCTGACCACCTGTGAACAAACCAGGGTAAAATGATCAAAAAAAGTCAAGGGAATATACCATGTACTAGGTTCAGACAGTCATAATAAAAGGCCTCAGTATAGAATACAAAGTATCATATGTAAAATAATACAAATATAAAATCCTTTCAATGCTGAAGCTGGCTATAAATGGAAAAATTTAGGTTTATTAAACAGGTCTGGTCAGGTTTTAAAATATTTGTCTTCTGTAGTTAGAAGATTATATAGGAAGTAAATTAACTTTCAGCAAAGGAAATTATGGCCCTATAGCAGTGTCCCCCTTCTCATAGATTAATTCAAGGTACCAAAGGGTTTTAATTCTCTATTGCCTTGTCACACCATGAGGAATCTAGAATCACACCCCAGAATCTAGAATTTGTTCTTGGGAGACATAACCTAGACCTTTCTTGGCCAGATGTATGGGAAAGCAGGACAAAAGAAGGCACCTCTAATTCTTCAGAACACTTTAGAGCTCTTCTGACTAAGAAAAAAACCGGAACTGTAACCCTTCCCTGTAAGTCACCACAACACTCATTAGGGACAGAACTCAATGCCTCTGTACTGTCATTTTCTCAGTCTGTCGGTCATGCTTCCTGGTACTGGACCAAAGCTTGGCAAGCAATGTTTTTATCATACACATAGTATGAGCTGGTGCTACAGGGGAAAATAATGTCTTGTTCAAGAGACTGTAATGCAGCTTGGTTTACGGTGGTACAGAGACAACAGACAGACACAGATGAAAAGAGGATAGCATTGACTTTAAATGACACAATGGACCAAATGGACTTCACAGATATACTCAGAACATTCAATCCCAAAGCAACAGAATACACATTCTTCTCTAGTGCACATGGAACATTCTCCAGAATAGATCACATCCTAGGTCACAAATCAGGTCTCAATCGGTACCAAAAGATTGGGATCATTCCCTGCATATTTTCAGACCACAATGCTTTGAAACTAGAACTCAATCACAAGAGGAAAGTCGGAAAGAACTCAAATACAATACATGGAGGCTAAAGAGCATCCTACTAAAGAATGAATGGGTCAACCAGGAAATTAAAGAATTAAAAAAATTCATGGAAACAAATGAAAATGAAAACACAACTGTTCAAAATCTTTGGGATGCAGCAAAGGCGGTCCTAAGAGGAAAATATGTAGCAATACAAGCCTTTCTCAAGAAACAATAAAGGTCACAAATACACAACCTAACCCTACACCTAAAGGAGCTGGAGAAAGAACAGCAAATACAGCCTAAAGCCAGCAGAAGATAAATAATAAAGATCAGAGCAGAAATCAATGAAATAGAAACCAAAAGAACAGTAGAACAAATCAACAAAACTAGGAACTGCTTCCTTGAAAGAATTAATAAGATTGATAAACCCCTGGCCAGACTTATCAAAAATAAAAGAGAAATGACCCAAATAAATAAAATCATGAATGAAAGTGGAGAGATCACAACCAACACCAAAGAAATACAAACAATTATAAGAACATATTATGAGCAACTATATGCCAGCAAATTAGATAACCTGGAAGAAATGGATGCATTCCTAGAGATGTATAAACTACCAAAACTGAACCAGGAAGACACAGAAAACTTGAACAGACCTATAGCTATATCCACTAAGGAAACTGAAGCAATAATCAAAAATCTCCCAACAAACAAGAGCCCAGGGCCAGATGGCTTCCCAGGGGAATTCTACCAAACATTTAAAGAATTAATACCTATTCTTCTGAAACTGTTCCAAAAAATAGAAATAGAAGGAAAACTTCCAGACTCATTTTATGAGGCCAGCATTACCTTGATCCCAAAATCAGACAAAGACCCCATCAAAAAGGAGAAATACAGACCAATATCCCTGATGAACATGGATGCAAAAATTCTCACCAAAATACTAGCCAATTGGATCCAACAGTACATTAAAAGAATTATTCACCACGACCAAGTGGGATTTATTGCTGGGCTGCAAGCTTGGTTCAACATCCACAAATCAATCAATGTGATACAATACATTAATAAAAGAAAGAACAAGAACCATATGATCCTCTCAATAGATGCAGAAAAAGCATTTGACAAAGTACAGCATTCTTTCTTGATTAAAACTCTTCACAGTGTAGGGATAGAGGGTACATACCTCAATATCATAAAAGCCAGCTATGAAAAACCCACAGCGAATATCATTCTTAATGGGGAAAAACTGAGAGGTTTCCCCCTAAGGTCAGGAACACGGCAGGGATGTCCACTATCACCACTGCTATTCAACATAGTACTAGAAGTCCTAGTCTCAGCAATCAGACAACAAAAAGAAATAAAAGGCATCCAAATCGGCAAAGAAGAAGTCAAACTCTCACTCTTTGCAGATGATATGATACTTTATGTGGAAAACCCAAAAGACTACACCCCAAAACTGCTAGAACTCATACAGGAATTCAGTGAAGTGGCAGGATGTAAAATCAATGCATAGAAATCAGTTGCATTTATATATACCAACAACAAGAAGAAAGAAAAATTAAGGAATCAATCCCATTTACAACTGCACCCCAAAACATAAGATACCTAGGAATAAATCTAACCAAGGAGATGTAAGATCTGTACTCAGAAAACTATAAAATACTCATGAAAGAAATTGAGGAAGACACAAAGAAATGGAAAAACGTTCCATGTTCATGGATTAGAAGAACAAATATTGTGAAAATGTCTATGCTACCTAGAACAATCGATACATTTAATGCAATCCCTATCAAAATACCATCAACTTTTTTCAAAGAAATAGAACAAATAATCCTAAAATTTGTATGGAACCAGAAAAGACCCCGCATAGCCAGAGGAATGTTGAAAAAGAAAAGCAAAGCTGGTAGCATCACAATTTCAGACTTCAAGCTCTATTACAAAGCTATCAAGACAGTATGGTACTGGCACAAAAACAGACACACAGATCAATGGAACAGAATAGAGAGCCCAGAAATGGACCCTCAACTCTATGGTCAACTAATCTTCGACAAAGGAGGAAAGAATGTCCAATGGAAAAAAGACAGTCTCTTCAACAAATGGTGTTGGGAAAATTGGATAGCCACATGCAGAAGAATGAAATTAGGACCATTTCCTTACACCACACACAAAAATAGACTCAAAATGGTTGAAAGACCTAAATGTGAGACAGGAGTCCATCAAAATCCTAGAGGAGAACACAGGCAGCAACCTCTTCGACCTCAGCCACAGCAACTTCTTCCTAGAAACATCACCAAAGGCAAGGGAAGCAAGGGCAAAAATGAACTATTAGGATTTCATCAAGATAAAAAGCTTTTGCAAAGCAAAGGAAACAGTCAACAAAACCAAAAGACAACCGACAGAATGGGAGAAGATATTTGCAAATGACATCTCCGATAAAGGGCTAGTATCCAAAATCTATAAAGAACTTATCAAACTTAACAACCAAAGAACAAATAATCCAATCAAGAAATGGGCAGAAGACATGAACAGACATTTCTTCAAAGACGATATCCAAATGGCCAACAGACACATGAAAAAGTGCTCAACATCGCTTGGCATGAGGGAAATCAAGATCAAAACCTCAGTGAGATACCACCTCACACCAGTCAGAATGGCTAAAATTAACAAGTCAGGAAACGACAGATGTTGGCGGGGATGCGGAGACAGGGGAACCCTCCTACACTGTTGGTGGGAATGCAAGCTGGTGCAGCCACTCTGGAAAACAGTATGGAGGTTCCTCAAAAAGTTGAAAATAGAGCTATCGTACGATCCAGCAATTGCACTACTGGGTTTTTACCCCAAAGATACAAATGTAGGGATCCGAAAGGGTACGTGCACCCCGATGTTTATAGCAGCAATGTCCACAATAGCCAAACTGTGGAAAGAGCCAAGATGTCCATCAACAGAAGAATGGATAAAGAAGATGTGGTATATATACACAATGGAATAGTATGCAGCCATCAAAAAATGAAATCTTGCCATTTACAAGGACATGGATGGAACTGGAGGGTATTATGCTAAGCGAAATAAGTCAATCAGAGAAAGACATGTATCATATGATCTCACTGATATGAGGAATTCTTAATCTCAGGAAACAAACGGAGGGCTGCTGGAGTGGTGGGGGGTGGGAGGGATGGGGTGGCTGGTGATAGACATTGGGGAGGGTATGTGCTATGGTGAGTGCTGTGAATTGTGTAAGACTGTTGAATCACAGACCTGTACCTCTGAAACAAATAATACATTATACGTTAAAAAAAAAGAGAGAGAGAGAAGATAGCAGGAAGGGAAAAATGAAGTGGGGGGAAATCGGAGGGGGAGACGAACCATGAGAGATGATGGACTCTGAGAAACAAACAGGTTTCTAGAGGGGAGGGGGGTGGGGGGATGGGTTAGCCTGGTGATGGGTATTAAGGAGGGCACGTACAGAATGGAGCACTGGGTGTTATATGCAAACAATGAATCATGGAACACTACATCAAAAACTAATGATGTAACGTATGGTGATTAACATAACATAAAAGAATAAAATTAAAAAAAAAGAGTGGGTGGCTTAACCCACTGAGCCATCCAGGAGCCCCTGACTTTTCCCATTTTTAACTGTTTATTCTTAGTCTTGTAGGTTTATCCTCATCTACCTAAACATTAAATATGTGTTCCTTGATCAGAACAGAGCTTTCATGATAGGAGAAGATGATGTGGAGAGAGTAAGTGAAATCACTAAGTCATGTGCATTTCCAGAGCCCTGAGAGTTCCTTCCACGGCCAACTTCTTGGCGGGCAACCTGTACAGTCATTTAGGACTCCATGCTTGGTTTAATGCTCTGATGTCAGTGTCTTGAAATTCTTCACAATGTCATCTTTGAATGTGGGTTTCGTCAGAGTCGACGGGACAACGGAGCATGTGCACGAGCAGAGGCGAGACCCCAGAGACAGTATGTGTGAGCCGTAGTGGTCCCGGCTCCCGGCGCTCAACAGCATGCACAGAGCAGCAGCGGACCCTGCGGGCAGGCAGCAGCCTGGGACAGCACAGAGCCTCAGGGAGCGGGGAGCGGGGCCAGGCTGGGGCCTGCGCAGAATGGAGGTTGTGACGGCAGCAGGCATGCATGGAAAAGTGAAGTGACTTCTCTAACTTCAGAGTCAGCCTCTTGACTCCCAACCTCTCACCTCCCTGCTGCTTTCCTGGTCTCCATGACCTCATCCTGGTGACCTGACATGTTCAGTGATTTTATATGATTCGTGACATGGTGTGTTCAGTGATCGTATGTGAGAGCCTCTTATTAACCTACTTTAAAGTGTAAAAGAATAGGGCGCCTGGGTGGCTCAGTCGGTTAAGCGTCTGCCTTCGGCTCAAGTCATGATCCGAAGGGTCCTGGGATCGAGCCCCATATTGGGCTCTGTGCTCAGAAGGGAGCCTGCTTCTCCCTCTCCCTCTGCCTGCCTGTCTGCCTACTTGGGATCTCTCTCTGTCAAAAAAATAAATAAAATAAAAATCTTAAAAAAAAATAGGATAGCATTAAAGTACTAAAACATGAGGTTATGATAAATAATAGTAAGTAGAGAAGGAGAAAGGAAGATAAGCAAAAATATGTGAAAATGCTATTAGTACAATATAAAATTGTATGGAGCTAAAGGTGAGACTTGCAAATTAAATTATCTTTTGGAGTAGGAGTCATACCCCAAAACTTCTCCCATGAAATGTATAAGAGATCCTATGCTCAATGCACCTGTAACTAGTCAACATGGAAGACCAAGCATTTAAAAAATAGGACTTGCTTAACAAAAGTTCCTATAATTCCTATCACTCAAAAGATACTTATAGTTTACCATAAAATTCAAACTTTACATTATTTAATGCTAAATAAACACTTATAAGCCATCTAAATGGACAATACTCATTCCTGTTGATTAAATTGGGTACCCAGTTTTTTTCTACTGATGTAAATACAGTAAAATGATAACAAGATAATTCTATACCCTAAGTTCACAGTGGTTTGCTTCAAAGAGAAGGGAGAGCATTGGACTAGGAGGCACACAAGGGGAATGTCTAAGGTACTAGAAATGTTCCATTTCTTATGCTTTTTCAGAGGTTCCTGTATGCCCCTCCCCTATCGCATTTTCCCTTTTATCTTTTATATATCCTATATATTTTATACATTGGCAAATACAATAGTGCTTTTTGAACAGATAAAGAAAAAGGAGAAAGAGAAATGTGGTAAAGGCAGCATAAACAAAATCTCTGAATCAGAAATAAATATGTCCTGAAGGGTCAAAAATGTTTTGGGCAATAGATGGAAAGGGATAGAGTCAAATAGGTTTAACTAAAAGGAGAGCTTCAAATACCAGATTAAAGCAGCAGTTAGGAAGAACAGGAAGTTCTTCAACAGTTTATAGTAGCCAATTCAGTACAAATTTAAGTAGCAAAAATTTAAGTCCTTTCAGTTCTGTCTTTACAGAATCTCATTTATGCTCTTACTTCTCCATGCTCCCTGGCTCTTCTTACCTGGCCGTGGAATACAATATTAACCTCCTAACTAATCTTCTTGTTTCTATTACCCTTGATTTTATGCACAATGACAGGTCTCACCTGATTTCACTAAATCTTTTGTTGTATACCCTTCCCCGTTCCTCCTCTATACCTTTGTTCATGTTGCTCCCTTAGGCTAAAGTGCTCCTCCTGCATATGCCCCATTCATTCACTTAGTAAATATTTTTGGGCAACTACTGTGCACAGAGCTCGGTTCTGGGCCTTGAGATACAGGAATGAAATAGACAAGGCCCCTGTCATTACTGAGCTTCTGTTCCACTGCCAGAGGTAGAGAAATAAGTAAATAAACTACTAATTGCAGATAGTGGGTTTTGCCATTTAAGCAAAAATAGGGTAATGTGATAAGGAGAGTTGGGTGGTGCTACTTTTAAATAGGATGGTCAGGGAAGTCTGCTCTAAAGAATGGACATATGAACTGAGACTTGAATGATATAAAGACCCCTATGCCATTAGAGAGACTTTGGAAACATTTAGACATCAGCTAACTCCCTCTTCCAAATCTCTGATAAATCAATTTGTATATAACTTGTGATACTTAGTATTTTTCTTTTTTCTTTTTTTTAATTTTAACTAGGCTCTACGCCCAACATGGGGCTTGAACGCTCAACCCTGAGATTATGAGTCGCATGCTCTACCGACTGAGCCAGTCAGGTTCCCCGTTAGTATTTCTATTTCACCACTATTTCTGTGCATGCCTGACTATAATCTTGAGGAAAGGATCCTACTTTATATTCCTCAAAGAATATAGAACAACATTTTGTATTTAACAGCACTCACATGTTATTTGTTGACTATACCTTTAACAGCTTCCATAAGTAACTGAAATAACGGACTAAAATTAACAGTGAATATCTCTGGGAAGTGGGGCTGAGAGGAAAGAGGTACTTTTACTTTGGACTTTTACTTTACCTTCTGTGAAGTTTGCATTTTAAAAAAACATGTATTATTTTAATTATCTAAAAAAAAACTTTAAGGGGCGCCCAAGTGGCTCAGTCAGTTAAGCTTCTGCCTTGGGCTCAGGTCATGATCCTAGGGTTCTGGGATCAAGCCCGCATCGGGCTCCCTGATCAGCAGGGGAGCCTGCTTCATCCTCTCCCTCTGCCCCTGTTCATGTGTGTTCTCTCTCTCGCTCAAATAAATAAAATCTTAAAACACACACACACACACACAAAAACTGTAAACAAGCCAAAACCCATTATGTATGAAAAACACGGTCTCCATAGTTTTCAAATCATAGCACATAAAGTAACTTAAGAATACGCTCTAAGGTTAACATGATTATTGCAAGGTATGAAACCATATGCTTTGCTTAACCAATAGTTTTGCAAACTAATTCTCCTGACTAAATATATTTCTGAACACTAGAGGGTTTTTTTGTTAACTGCTCTGAATTGAACTGCTATACCTTAGATATTTTCTAAGAATGAGGCAATTGGGTTAAATACTCTTAAGTTATAAATTTAAAACTTTTATTTAACTCTATAAGCAGAAGCTTACAAGAATAATATCACAGACCAAAATGTGAAGGGACTAGTCATCAGCAATGCATTCTACAAGGGAGGCTAATCAGAAGCTTAGTTACTGAAAATGGTGTCTATTGGTCAAGGCTAGAGATGACAGAATTTTTTTTGTCTTTAAAAAAACACAGAAGTAGATAGATGTTAAGTCATCTACTAGCCAAATATATACTATTAAAATCTGATTCAGGGGCGCCTGGGTGACTCGGTTAAGCGTCTGCCTTCGGCTCTGGTCATGATCCCAGGGTCCTGGGATCGAGCCCTGCATTGGGCTCCTTGCTCAGTGGAGAGCCTGCCTCTCCCTCTCCCTCTGCCTGCCTCTCTGCCTGCTTGTGCTGTCAAATAAATAAAATCTTAAAAAAGAATAAAATGAAATAAAATCTGATTCATCATGTGTGTTAAGTTTTGAAGCATGGGAAGCACAAGGAATGATTAACTTAGAAGTGTGTATTTGGAGGGGCGACTGGTTGGCTCAGTCAGTAGAGCATGAAACTCTTGATCTTGGGGTTGTAAGTTCAAGCCCCACATTGAGTATAGAGATTATTTAAAAATAAAAAATCTTTAAAACAAACAAGAAAACAAAGGAAATGTGTAGTCGGAATACTACTACTACTACTACTAACCTGAATCGTTTGAGATGTAGTCTGAGAACCTGAGGTAGGTGGCAAATCATAAGCTGTTTTTGTGCTTCTGTGAGTACAACTGATTTGGAAGAAAACCTTCTACGCTTTGCTGTGATATCAAAGACAGAATGAGAATCAAATTTAAAGATACAAGGAAATGCTGAGTAAACTTTAAATACTTTAGACATGTATTATTAAACATCTTCTCTGTTACAGGTATTGTACTGTGCTAGAGACATGGCCTTGCTCTCAAAAAACTTATAAGCACACAATTTAAGAGCTAGTCAGGCAGACAGACATGTAAACAATTAAGTCCCTGATTTAATATACTCCTACAAATAAGGCAAAAGAATGATCTAGTAGGCGCCTGGGTGGCTCAGTCATTAAGCGTCTGCTTTCGGCTCAGGTCATGGTCCCAGGGTCCTGGGATCGAGCCCCCCATCGGGCTCCCTGCTCAGCGGGGAGCCTGCTTCTCCCTCTCCCACTCCCGCTGCTTGTGTTCCCTCTCTCGCTGCGTCTCTCTCTCTAATACATAAATAAAATCTTTAAAAAATAAAAAATAAACATGGATTTGACTACGCCAATTAATAGGAAAAGTTAAAAATTCCCCTAAACATACTTTAATATACTCTTCCCAAATTCTTAATTTAAAAAAGTATCATAGTCAGTCCATTTACTGAGGCTAATTGAAATTCCAGGGGGGCGGGTCCTTAATAGCTCAGAATACCCTTCCCCACTTCCTGACAAAGCAGTCGTCTTCCAGCTCTGAGCCTGAGGCCTCCCCCTCAGTGTCTTGCTTTTGCTATTTTAGTACCAGATCTTAAACAAGTGGCACTTAGGATTCTTTTTGTTGTCTCCTCTGCTTCTCTAGGGGTCCACCCATGAATTGTGCCCTGAAGCTTCTGGCTGCGCCACCCTACCAGTTTGCTCTGGACACCCAGGAGCTGTCCTTCAACTTACACAGCAGCTCTGACTCCAGCCACGGCAGCAGCTGCTTCTCGTGGAGGAGGTGAAACCCTGTGAGGCTGTCCTGTAAGCTGTCTCCATTTGCCGTGGGTAGCCTGTCCTCCGGGTCTCTGCCCCTGAGATCCAGGTATCTGGTGCTGCTGAATGTCCTGGACCTACTTTTGGATCATCTTCCTGAATATATGGCTAGTATAGCTAGATAAGTGATATCAACTCCCTGACTTATAATTTTAAACATCTGCCTTTATGTATTAAATTACAGCAGCTCTTTTAGGACTTTATTTGGTAGATCCAGTAAACACACACAAACATGTTATAAAACCATATTCTGCATTCATTCATGTTATCTTTCTATTCCCAGATTTGGTGGATGAAAGCATCTAGGACCATTCACATTTATTTCCAAGAAAAAAAATTTCACCATTCGAGTTTGATAAAGTTTATTTTTTTCAAACCTTATAAATCCTAGGCTACTTAACACAGAGTTCCTATTAGATAGCACTCAGAAAATGTTAATATAAGTCATTCTAAAAAAAACATCAACTGATGTAACATTTCTTCAATACTGAAACATCCAATATTTCTTTTATATTACCTTCGAAGTTTAAAACCCTAAGATCATTTTTTTAAACATGGAAATTAGAGAGAATACCTGAAAATATATAGCATAAACACTAAGATACCACATGCACATTGATAGAGAAGATAAAGACTCCTGAAAAAGACACAGCAGATTTGTCATGATGATTTTATATACAATTTCCCTGGAGGATGATGCTTTCCTTTAATTGAAATGAGTGTCTCATCCCCCAGTGCTGGGTTCCTGCGTTCACCTCTAGTAGAGTGTTTCTCGTAATAGATCTTAATCATCTGTTTCTTCCATTAGGTATGTGAGCACCTTGAAAGTGTTTTACTTCTATCCATAGCAATTAGAACAATGACTAATATAGAAGAGATAGTCATTAGAAGGTTTTTTACTAACTCTGTTTTTACGAAGCCAATCTCCATAGCAGTAATTCAGCTATATATTTCCTATCATATAGGTACACTTATATACATATATTATCTATATGTCAGTGTTTTGATATGTAGCAAAAAGACTCATAAAGCAAACATTTTATTTAGTACTAAATAACATGCTTTCCTTTTACTATTCCCCATCGCTACTTTATTCTGCCTCACATATTAAGTTCAAATTTCTTATTTTATGAATCCTTTCTCTCCACAACTGACTATGGGGTCAAAAAAATTTTGATGTCATCAATAAGGCAAAACAAACACATAGCTCACAAATGCCAATTATAAAGTAGAAATATCTATCCCAGTTTCTTTTGATGAGCTAACAAAGTTTATTTCCATAACTGCTACTTTAGGAATTTCTTTCAGCTTCCTCTCATTTGTGTTTCTCCTCGCTAATCTTAGAAAAGCAAAGAGAATATACAGTCTCTACTTACAGTTACAGTGGTCACATACGTAGATTTTTCCTTCTAAAGCTTCAGTTTCTGTAAATTTGGCCAGCATTTCAGTAACCAGACATGGCTGGGAAGCAGTATCTTTTCCACTGCATTGGTATCTTTCTGGAAATTCCAGTGATAAGTCCCAGAAAGGTTCTATGGTATTTGATTTGTTGTCACATGCAAGACATGTAACCTGCAAATAAAAATATTTGTTTCTCAGATTACAATCCTGTCAAAACATTTACTCCCTTCACTATAGAGGTCACTGCCAGTAAATTAGATTTTCTTCTGAAAATGCGCCGTCAGAATTCTGAGTAATCTGCTTTATATTATTTTCAGAGATTTTTTTTTCATTATTATAATTTTTCCTTTCGATGACTGTCAGTAAACCCACTATGTACTGGTGGGCTTTAACCAATAAGCATTCAAAAAAGTCCAAGGGTATTAGTCAAATCTGAATGTAGGCAAACAAACAAACTGTGGAATCATTTAATTAGGTATACATTGTGTGTGTGCGTGTGTGTGTGTGACAGAGAGAGACGGTGGGTGGGGGGAGAAAGAGAGATTTATATGCATTTAATGTGTTTAGAATATTAAACTTGTTCTTTGCCCTTTTTCCTAACTTACTTTCACTAATTTTCTCTCCCCAAATCCCTATAACTTCTTAACCAGGATACAAATAAAATACTATTTGTATATTTTTAAATATAGATTTTGAAGCCCTAGCAACTGATAATTTCAAAAGGCAATACATTTAACATAAATGATGTCACACTCACTTAAAGCAAATGTCACTACATTAAAATCCTCACCAAATACAGGAACCACAAAGAGTATAGGGCAGTTCTAACAAGTGAAGCACTCAGCACGACTTAATGCCAACAAACACTTCACAAAACTGAAGACAGACTCTATAGATCTAATAATCCCTACATGATAGATTACTAAACTCTTTTATAAAGAACATTCTTGGTGTTTGTTTGGAGACTCATTAGGGCAGGGTTTAACCTTTTGAGAACAGTTTCTTGAATAAAAAAAGAAAGAAGCCATTCTAGGAACCAACCATCTGAATCTCCAGTTTTCTAAGAGTTTATTACGTGTCTGAAAGGAAGAGAGAAAAAAGCTGGCATAATAATTTTTATTAATTTCAAAAGTCATCCATAAAGGAAAAAATAAGCACATAGGCACCCTTGCACTATTCAAAATATAAAATAGTAACTTTCTGGGAAGAAATTTGTAGCCAAGGATCAAAAGTCCTACTTTGACAAAGTAATTTCTAGGACTCTGCCTTAGCGAAATCATTAGAAGAAAATGTACTGTGACATTATAATAACAGAAAAATTGGAAACAGTTTACAAGTCAACAATACAGGAATGGGTAAACAAATTATGGAATATACATATAATGGACATTGACATGCTGTAAAAAAATGATCAAGTATTTCAATGACTATGAAAAATCTTTATATTAATAATGAAAAAAATGAAAAAAGCAGGTAAATTCATCATGACTGAACAAGTAGGAGAAAATATGTGCAGAAGAGGGGCTCTTGGATGGCTCAGTCGGTTAAATGTCTGTCTTCAGCTTAGGTCATGATCCCAGTGTCCTGAGATCAAGCCCTCTGTTGGGCTCCCTGCTCTGTGGGGAGCCTGCTTCTCCTTCTCCCTCTGCTGCTCCTCCTGCTTATGCTCTCTTTCTCTCTCAAATACATAAATAAAATCTGTTTTAAAAATGTGCAGAGGAAAGGGGTGTGCAGGTGGCTTAGTCAGTTAAAGTGTCTGACTCTTGATCAGATCTTGATCAGGTCTTGATCTCAGGGTCAATGAGTTCAAGCCTTGTGTTGGGCTCCACATGGAGCTTACTTAAAAATAAAACAAACAAACAAACAAATAAATAAATAAAACCCAAAGCTTTAAATAAAAATAAAAATAAAATTTTTAATGTACAGAAGGAAAAAAAACTAGAAGAAAGTATACCAAAATGTTAATAGTTTTATGTGTGGGTTGTTGGGTTATGGGATAAGGGGATGATTTTTCTTTTACTGCATAGATTTACTGTATCATACAGGTTTTCTATGACTATATATTACTTCTATTTATAATAGTGCATTTTAAAACTTTTTTTTAAAGTAAGCTCTAGGCTCAACATAGGGCTTGAACTCACCACCCCAAGGATCAAGAGCTGCATGCTCTACTGACTACAAACTCCTATTAATGGTGCATTTTAAACTTTTGCATAAAAGTGGTGGAAAAATAAAATTGCATGCAACACAAAAAACAACTCTTACTTGCTAAATGGCACAGTGTAAAATCTTTACATTTCTGAAACATTAAGTGGAATAAACGTCAAAGAGAAACCCTAAGAATTACATTTGAATACTTAAACTACAGGGGTGCTTGGCTGGCTCCGTCGGTAGAGCATGCAACTCTAGATTTAAGGGTTCTGAGTTTCAGCCCCACGTTGGGCACAGAGCTTTAAAAAAAATTTAAAAATACACATTTAAGCTACATTCCAGAAAAGTATGCTATAAAGACAAAAGATGGTATCATTATTGTGAAAGTTGCACTGAGGAACAGAGGCAGGCCTACAAGGGGAAAGAAATGACCTAACAGCCCAACTGCCTAAAACAAAAAAATTTTAAAGCTCTATGCGATGGAAAAGTAGAGAGCCTTATGTCTAGTAGTAGTTTACCAATAAGTCCACTCGTTACAGAGAGCTATTAATTAGATGGGAGATTCTGGTTTCGTGATTCCTTTTCACAACAAGGGAAACTTTTATAGCTATAATTAAAATAAAGGAAACCATTCAGGATTATTCTCAATGAAATCATATTTACTTACTTTAAAATTTCCCTACCTACTTGCCCCCTTTGGTTTTACAGAAAGTCTTCCAGGGCTACTTCTTGGTTCCTGAAATTATTCAGATCCATTCTCAGGGCAGCAGCATCTTCAAATCTATTCCCTGTGGGGTTAAACCCTCTCTTCTCAATCCCTCGGAGAATGAATTTAATATTATCAACCTAAGAAGCTGTTTCCTGATTCCCTCTCCCCACAAAAAAATCATTGCTACCATAGATGAAAAACTGCTTCCAGTGATTCATGAAGGAAACTTGTAAATCAATGAAACACTGTAAATCAGTGAGCTGACTTCTGCAAAAGCAATCTATTTTGATGCAAAAACAGTACTAGCTCTAGCTCTAACACACTAGAAATACAGAGAAAATGCATTTTTTTAGGCTTCATTTTATGAATTCCCCAAGAGGAAAATAAGATTTTAAAAAACCCATACCTGACTAAGAAGTTGTCCATGAAAAATATTATTCACAACATTCAGAACCTGTTTGATAAGTTTCCTTTGAGAAGTGGGGATAAGAGCTGGTAATCTAGTACCAGTTGTCTCTAGTTCATGTTGTATTTTATCCAAAAGTTCACAAAGAAATTCCTGAGCATCCTGTTGGGCATAACCACGAAAAGCTGGAATTAGTCTCCACACGGAGTGTAGCATACCAAATGGTGAGACCAAGGCCCACTTTCCAGACCACATGACTTGGAACAAAGTATGCAATTCATGACAGAGAGAAATGTATTGTGAACTCGGCTCCCTTGGCTGAATAAGCTCCATCTTTCTACTCTTTGACGCTCCACCGCTTAGTCCTAATGATAAACTTGGATGTCTGGAGGGAGCGCTGCCTGTATCCTTTTCTTGGCATTCATTCATTTGATACACTGTATCTGTGATTGGTAGATGCTTATAAGGTGATCTTGTCTTATCACTAGCTGTCACAGCCAGCCATCGGTTCAGATCAAGTTTTAAAAAACATTGCCGAAAAATAAGTAAATGACTCAACACTTGAAGAACAGAATTCATATAGCAAGTATTTCCCAAATTTCTCAATCCTGTTACACCAGGGGTTACTATTAGGCTTCGTTTACCTGAGGAGTCACTGGCTTTTTTTAATCTTACATCTCCTGAGGTAGATACTACTTTATCTTTTGCTGGTGATGCTGGGGTTTGTAGTGGAACTTGAACAGGAACTATTTCTACTGTGGTAGATTGAGCTAGACCTTGCAAACGTAAACTCTTTCTTGGATGAATAGTTTCCAGTTCCACTTTAACTTGATACTCTAATTCTTGTTGTCTTTTCTTTACTTCTCTTTTTGCTATTTGTTCCTGAAATTGTTCCTCTTGCCTTTTTCTTCCAATGGGTGATTGTTCAAACCAAGTTCGAAAGATTTTACTCATTAATATCCTTCTCCTGTGCCAAAGAGCAGTATACATTTGATCTTCATTTTGAAGCAGAGATTGGGTGCCATCATATAAGTAGTAAGTATCATCGCTCGTACCCATAGACCGCAAAACCCTTCCACTACGAGTGGTGCACTGATAATTTTGACTTTTGATTGCACTTAACATACTTCGTAGTAACTTCAGGTCTCCAGTTGCATTATCATTAAGAACATAATCATCACAAAGGTAACAAAAAACATACATCTCATTCACCTCCAGTGCGACAGGATGACTGCTTTCTTGAAAGTGCCTGAGTGCATGTTCTTCAATATATCTTCCACAGGCAACATGAGAACAGCTAAGGCAAGCCCAAATCGACTCAGTTGTATTGCAGTCCACACAATGCCACTTCTGAGGGTTGAGGATGGAATGGTCTTGAGCAAGCCGCAACTGCCCAATGTGTTTGCACTTATCCATTGTTAACATTTATTTAGTCTAGCTGAGAAACACATAATCCAAACAAGTCTCTGTTCACGATACCTGAAGCATCTGAAAACTAAGCAGAACAATACTATTTTTTAATAAAAGAGCCAATATTTTTATAAGGTATTTTACCAAGAATTATTTTATTTACTTATTTTTAAAGATTTGATTTGTTCATTATTCATTTGAGAGAGAGAGAGAAGGGGGTGCCTGGGTGGTTCAGTCCAGTAAGCATTTGCCTTTGGCAAATCCTGGGGTCCTGGGATCAAGTACCTCCTAGGGCTCCCTGCTTGGCAGGGAATCTGCTTCTCCCTTTGCCACTCGCCCCACTCGTGAGTGTGCAAAAATAAATGAACAAAATCTTTTTAAAAAAGAGACAGACAGAGAGAGAGCACAAGTGGAGGGGAGAGACAGAGGGAGAAGCAGACTCCCCACTGGGCAAGGGGGCCTGATCCCAGGACCTGGAGATCATGACCAGAGCCAAAGGCAGAGGCTTAACCATCTGAGCCCTTCAAGAATAATTTTATAAACTTGCTTCCTTTCCTCCCAATTTCTGGGCCGCCTGTCATAATACCATATGCAGTTCTCACTTTTCCCTTGCTCTGGAGGTCTCTAATCTCTCATCTGCCTTGCTCTGAAAGAACTCACACTTCCTTTACTTTCTTTAAAAACTTTAAAAGAAATTATTTTTTTTAATTTTCTGCCACCATCTACTGATAAAGAATGGGTAATGACCCCTTTTCAATGAACTAGAATAAGATCCATCCTTTTACCCAACAGTCGAGGGCAGTTGACAAAACTACATTCCGTTTCTTAAAAATTGGGGCTGGCAAGACTCAAATATATCTCACAAATACCTACATTCTGAGAGCCCTATCTACATAGTTATTAAAGCATAACCATAGTTAAAAGCATGAGGTCTGAAACAAAAACTTAGAGGTAAGAATTCTACCTCTGCTACATACTGTTTATATGTCTGATTTGAGCAAATATTTTAACTTCTCTAAAATTCTTCTGTAAAACAGGAAAAAAATCATACCAACTTCAATGAAGAATTGAGATAATATATTTGTTTAACACATAGTAAACACCCAATAAATGGTAGCTATAGTGAACAAGTCTTAATAGTCTATCCTATTTATTTAAATAAATCACAGTATTCTACTTAATTACCATTTTTTTTTAAAGATTTTTTTTATTTGACAGAGAGAGATACAGCGAGAGAGGGAACACAAGCAGGGGGAGTGGGAGAGGGAGAAGCAGGCTTCCGGCCGAGCAGGGAGCCTGATGCGGGGCTCGATCCCAGGACCCTGGGACCATGACCTGAGCCGAAGGCAGACGCTTAATGACTGAGCCACCCAGGCACCCCTACTTAATTACCATTTTAAATTTAGCTTTCCACTACTAAATCAATAATGACCTTCAATTCATGGCTCTATAACATACTTCGAATTTGATAGACTTGACAGTTTACCTATGGGAGGGAGAAAGACAGAAGAGGAGAATACTTTTGTGTTTGAATAGCCTCTCAGGAATGTGCAAGGATATAAGCAATGAGAAAAAAGGAAAAATATGAACTGGATGGCAATATAATGAACTTTTACATTCTGGTGGGTCTACACACTATCTGAAATTATAAGCTTATTCTAAAAACAAAAACAAAACCCCACCCAACAAAACAATCAACAAAACCTGTATGGTTTTGACCCAGAAACATGTTCCTTTATTATAATAGAGTCAAGAATACTTCTGCTACAACTATCTAAAAATAGGGGCACCTGGCTGGCTCAGTGGGTGGAGTATGAGACTCTGATCCCTGGGGTGTGAATTTGAGGCCCATGCTGGGTTAAGAGATTACTTAAAAATAAAATCTTTAAAAATAGATAAATAAAAATAAAAATAGTAATCTAGTTAAAAAGTAGGGATCACAAAACACTTTATTGGGTGCCTGGGTACCTTAATCGGTTAAGCATCTGCCTTCAGCTCAGGTCGTGATCCCTGGGTCCTGAGATTGAGCCCCATGTCAGGCTCCCTGCTCAGCGGGGAGAGTGCTTCTCCTTCTCCCTCTGCCCCTTCCCCCACTCATGCTTGTGGATGCGCTCTCTCTCACTCTCTCAAATAAATAAAACCTTTTTTAAAAAAAGTTTTCCTCATTGATTTAACACAAATCGAACACAAATTTCAGGTCACAGGTGGGGGGACCTAGTTACAAAACACTCAGAACATTTTATGTAGCATGATCAATGCTTTGAATTTTTTAGGGCAACAAGACAATATGAATTTCAATGGTACTTGCAAGTGCCACCTCCAGGGCCCTAAGTAAACTGTGAAGGTGAAGCTGATTTTTGGTTCCTTCCCACCTCTTTTTTTGTACAGTCTCCTAGCAATAGAGAGCCCCTCTCCCTCCACTTCTTAACTTTTTCAGATGTAGGCTGTATCCTGAATATGGACTTAAGGCTGACGAGTCCTAACCCTCACATGTGCACATATTTCAAGCACACATTTTAAGTTTACTTCTCTTTCTCCAAAATTTCCTGAGGTCCAAAATCTGTTCAAATACAGTATTTTATTAGAACTGCTAGCATTCAACAATAGTTGTTAATGGCAAAATTAAGACCTCAGTGATTAATATGCTCCATTATCCTAAATCCTTCCAGGTTCTGAAGCTAAATAGCTCATTCTTGACTCCTCTTTCTCTTTCCCCACATCAATCCTTCAGGAAAAATGGTTGGCTTTATCTCCAAAATATATCTAGAAACGGACTACGTATTACCTCCACTGCTTTTACACTGGTCCAAGCCCAATCAAGTTCACCGGGATTACTGTAATAAGGCTCCTTAAATAGTCTCCCTGCTTTGATTCTTGCTGCCACCAAAAGTTCACACAGCAACAACACACTCTGTCTTTAAACCCAGACCACCAGGGCCCAGACCTGACACTTTAGAGGGTCCCATTATGTGGAGTCAGCAGAGTCAAGGGGATGTGGTCACCTGGAGCCTGCACACATCCCCAACTCCCCTTTTGGACCCATTCACCAGCACCCGGGACCTCGAAAACTCCCTGCCCCAATCATTACCAAGCCTGCTTCCAGGGCCTACGGGCAATAAAAAACCACTGAAAAATTCTGTAGAGAATGACATGATCAGATACATAGGTTACAGATGGATCTGAAATGGCAGATCTAGAGAAAAGACGAGTGATTATAAGATATTATTACTCCAGATATTATAAGGAAATTAAAGCTGTAGTAGTGTTAACGCAAAGACGGGAGCAGAGGTAGATTAGTGTTAAAGCAAACATTGGCTGAAAGAACTGATTCAATATGGAGATTAAGAGAAAAATCTAGGGCTCTTTTCTATCTACTTCTATTTTTTATTTATTTTAAGTTTTTTTTTTTATTTGAGAGTAAGAACGAGAGAACAGAGAGCACAACCTGGGGCTCAAGGGGGACAGGCTCGATCCCAGGACCCTGAGATCATGACCTGAGCCGAGGGCAGACACTTAACTGACTGAGCCACCCAGGTGCCCTATCTACTTTTATTTTAAAAAGATCATAAAAAAAGATCCATAAAGGATCATATAAAGAATACAGAGATAATTTAGTTAAACATTCATTTCTGGCAAGTCAGATAATAATTATTAGTTCAGCTTCTTGAGATGAAGAGGGAAATGCCACTTATTTGCACTCAAGGGAAATTATTTCATTCTAAAAATTTTTTTTAAAGATTTATGTATTTGAGAGAAAGAGAGAGAAGGCACACGCAAAAGCAGGGGGAGGGGCAAAGGGAGAGGGAAAGGCAGACTCCCCACTGAGCAGGGATTCCCAATGCTGAGCTTGATCCCAGGACCTCAAGATCATGACCTGAGCTGAAGGCAGGCGCTTAACCAACTAAGCCACCCAGGAGTCCCTCATTCTAAAATTTTAGAGGTGGTATGAGTTAACACCTTGCACAACATTCAGAAAAGACTCAAAAGAAAAAAACCTAGAAAGAATACACATAGTTTATTCTGGGGTTATCCATATTTTCCAATACCTAAAAATTATGAGATGTTATTCGTATAAGTTTTAAGTAGGAATATATACATACTGGTGTATAAGTTTGCTATGTATGTGCTAAATATAGCCTCTTTGTTCCCTTCTCTATATTCTGCAAATACATTCCCAGTTATTACTAAAAATCTATTTAGATGATTGTTAGGTCCTCACAGCCCTTCAACCAGAAGTGGACTATAATTAAACAGCATGATTCCATTCAACAAAAAATCATGAAAAGGGTGAAATGTTGATCAGATGCCATCTCTCGGGGAGGCAATATTGCAGCACAGAAGTATCACAACAAAATGGTTAGAAAGCACACTCTGGAATCCAAAAGCCTGAGTTTAACACTTGGCTGTATTTACTATGTGACCTAGACAAATTATTTATGCTCCACTCACCTCAGTTTTCTTATCTTTAAAAAAACAATGGTAAGAAAACTAATAGGATTGTTGAGGGAATTAGAGAAATTTGTATTTATTAAGCACCTAGAATAAACCCTGACAATCATGTGGCTCTCAGTACATGTTAGCGGACAATACTACTACTACTACTACTACTTTCCTTCTTTCCTTCTAGTTTTATCACTTCTAGCCAGGGGTGCTAGCTGATAATTAAGCTGATAATTAAGAACTAAGGTCTGATCTCTCCCAGAGTATTTGCATTTTAAAAGGATTTATCTCAAAGATAAAATCTTCTTTAAAAAATCCAAAGAAGTGAAACCAGGGTTTCAGCCTGCCTAGCTCAGTTGGTAGAGCATGAGACTCTTGATCTCAGGGTTGTGAGTTCGAGTGGCATGTTGGATGTGGAGATTACTTAAAAATCAATTTTTAAAAACAAACACAAACAAACAAAACCCCACAAAGAAGTGAGACCGCAGTGGTGGAATGACAGATCAGGAGATTAAGATTTTAGAGCAGGGGGCCCACTTACCCTGTCTACTTATGAAAGAAACTAGGAGAGGGCAGACGACCAAGAGAAGGGCAGTAAGCAAGAGCCAGCAAACCAGGCTGCTGCCACCTGAGATTTCCAGTTTG